TCTGAGGTGCTGGGGTGAGGACTTCCACATGTGAACTTTTACATGACACAGTTCATGCCATAACAGATGGTGACGTGAGCGCATCTGGGGACCTGATTTTGAGTCCAGCCCCTTTTCCATCCTACCTCCTTGGAACAGGGTTTTGGTAGTTAGAGCTCTGTCTGGAACTGTGAGGATGAGCACCACGCCCTCCACTGTGGGGTTGGTTGTGGCTAGGGGCTCTGTTGCACACTGCCACACCTAAATCCTAATTAATACCTATTCCCATGCCCAAGGGTGCTGGTCATTGAAGTTTCTGGGCCTCTAGGGGCCTGGGGCATGTCAGGATGCCCTCCTATCCTATCCTGTGGCTTGTCATCAAGACCACTTTGCATCCACCCACCAGGGCTCAAAGGGGCTTAACAAGGAGGAATGTAGAGGGTGATACCTGGGGAAGGGTGGAGGAGATGGCTATGAAAATTCTGCTGCCCTCCCCCGCCATGCTGCCAGATCAGGTATCCTGTTCACCCCTAGAGCAGGGACACATGACCTCCAGTCTCCCTAAGTTACCTGTTGAAAAATACACCCCTTGACCTTAAAGGCTAGACCAGCCATGCCAGCAGCCAGCCCGCTGTCCATCACTGAACAGACCTCGTGGTTTTGGGTGTTTTGTGGCAAGGGCTTCCATCCCAGGCCAACATCCACCCACCACAGCTCCTTCCTCTAAGAGCCCAGCCAGGGTGAGCTGATGGAATATATGCCAATTTTAAGATTAGCCTGAGAAAAATAGCTTTAGGAAAGAAAACATAGCTAAAAATATCAGTTCAGGCCTTTCAGCACGACTGTAGTAGTTTCCTGGGGCTGCCGTAACAAATTACCACAAAATGGTGACTTAAAAACAACAGAAATCAATTCTCTCGCAGTTGTGGAGGCTGGAAGTCCAAGATCAAGGTGTCGGCAGTGTTGGATCCCCCTGGAGGCTCTGAGGGAGACTGTTCCTTGCCTCTCTTCTGGCTTCTGGTGACTGCCAGCATCCTTGGCTTGGGGCTGCATGGCCCCAGTCTCTGTCTCCATCTTTCCTGCCCTTCTCCCTTGTGTCTGGGTGTCTCAAATCTCCCTCTCCTTCCTCTTAGAAGGATCCCAGTCACTGGATTTAGGGCTCATCCTCAATTCAGGATGATCTCATCCCGAGATCCTTAATTACATCTGCAGACACTCTATTTCCAAATAAGGTCACCTTCACAGGTGCTGGGGGTTAGGACATGGACAACCTTTTGGGGTCCACCATTCGCCCCACTACAGCCTCCAAGAAATGCTGTCCCTTTGACCTCATCGACACATATACTGCCCCTCTGCTTTGTTATAGGGGTATTATAAGGTGGGTGGTGTGTTGTGAGAAGCATAAAAGCCATGACTGATGCCACAAAGCACACAGCCCTGTGCAGGGCCACCTGCCTCTCGCAGACACCCACCTCAGGGCCCAGCACCTGCCCAGCCACTGACCAGACACCTACATGCCAGACAGCACATGGTGCCCAAGGCATAGCCGTCACCCTGGCCAAGGCCAGACGGGCGGGGGGCCCCCACACATGGGACACAGACAGAAAATCTGCTGTGCTGGCTCTGGAGCTATAGCCGGAAGCTTCTGCTGCACGTGAGCATGCCCCGCTCCCTCTCTTTTCTTGCTCTGGACTTTGCTTATCCAGCACCCAGGGAGGATGTCTCCAGCCACAAGCAAAGGGAAGGCTCAGCAGCAGGAAATCCTGATGTGTATCCCTCTTCCTGGGCTTCCGGCCTCCAGACAGGAATGTTTCAAGGCCCAGTAGTGATAGGACACAGTCAGTGATAGTGGCCTCCTGGGCCCTGCCCTTGGGACAACCCTCAGCCGAGGCCACCCTGTTAATACAGGACGAGTCACGAGTTGGCCCTGCCAGGAAGGGCCTTGCCTTGTGCTGACTCAGCAAATGAGCAGAGGCCCAGTGCTGCCTACGAGGCCAGGGACCCCACCTTCACTCCATCTGGGGAGCATTGCCCAGCCAGGGGAGATACAAGCCCAGCCCTCAGAAACCCCACAGCCACCAAGCACACCCAACAACCAGATGTGAGTGCTCTTGGGGTGTTGGCCATATAATGTGCTCCCCATAATAACTCAGGGATGCCCTCAAGGCTGTCCCGGAAAGGGAGCCTCAGGCTGGGGACCCTCAGCTGGCCAGAGTGCACCTGGGGTAGGGCACTGTGGTCCTGCAGGTGTCCCCAGAGCATGAGGAGATTCAGCTGGCAGAAGGAGGGCTTGTCTCTGCAGGCCCCCTCACTCTATGGGGCCTGTCCCCGCCCTTGCTGTCCTCCAGTGTCCACTGTACACAGTGAGAGGGGAGGCCAGATCTGGGCTTGCAGCTCAGAGCCTGGACCTTGACCTGGACACCCCGAATCCAGCCCTGACAGGGCAGGCTGATCCACAAGCAAGAGGGCCAGGAATGGGGGCTGAGGTCTGGGTTTAGGGTCTGGGCAAAGGGTTTATACTCATATTTACATTAAATTTAAATAATTAGGATTTGATCTATTGAAGTTATAAATTCAAAATCTAATTTTTTAACCTGTTAAGTTCAATTTTACAAACGCTCTTATTCCCTTTATAATCCTAGCAGATTTTAAAGGCATGTTTAAGGGGCCTTTGCATAACATTTGGTCCCATCTACAAACTCAGTTAATTAAGCATTTTCAACATTTCAAATTGAATTTATAAATTAAATATCTTTTACTTCCTTTTTAAGTACTTTAGCTTGTCTAAGTTGATGACAAAATCTAGGGTGCTTCAAGAACTCATACACTCAATAGATTAAAATTTTAAATGTGGTGAACCCCAAGTTGTCTTAAATGTTCCAGAAATATGAAATACCAAATGTGTTTAGTTTTCACTTAATACGTAAATGATAATGCTTTGGTTCTGATTCCCTTAAACCTTTCTACGCCTCATTCTAAATCTTCTTGTGGCTGAAAGATGTGTACCCACTTAAAGAAGTTAGCTTTCAATGCAGGTTCTGGGGCCCCTTGGCACCAGCTATGCCAGCTGGGAGGCTGACAACTCCACAGGGCCCAGTGGGAGCTCTGCACAGGGGGCTGGCACTGGGCTCCTTGCCCTTCCTTCCCACCTGCTCTTAGGGTCTGCAAGACTGGCCCAGAGTGCACCATGAGTGGATTTTGCAATTCTTTAGCTCCAAAGACCTCTGGACTCAGTGAGATCCTAAGGTGACTAAATGCCTTTCTCACTAAGGGACCTTTGATCTTGCTGAAGTCTCAGCATTCCTAGGACTGCACCACTGTCAGGGCATCTAGCATAGCTTACTGGGGCCCTCTCCAGAGCTCTGCCTGACTTGTGGTCACTATCCCAAAGGGCAGGCCTTAGGGCTGAGCTGGCTGCCAGGAATACAGAGCTGCCCACTGACACTTGAAGTTGGTACAAGACATGCCTCAGCACACGCACAAGCCCCAGCCCCCTCTGGGAAGACTGTGGGGGTCAGCTGGCAGGAAATATGGGGAAGAGAAAGAAGGAAACATGACTAGGAAGAAAAAGAACAAAGTTCAGTTCAGGGAGAAACCTCTCAAGCAGCAGAAATGGGGAAACAGCTGTGCACTGCGTCCTGGGGCAGGCCTAGGGAGCCAGGGTGGGGTCAGACTGTGTGGTTTTCTGCAGGAAACTGCTGGGAACAGCTAGGGATGGGGAGGGGGATCTATCAGCTTGTATCAAATGTAAAATGCCTTGCGATTAAAACTGCTGGCCACGTGTGCATTTAATCCATCCCGGAGGTGCCCCGAAGCCTCTTGCTGGGGGCTGAGATGGAGGGGTTCTGCTTGTCTCTGGGGGTTTCCAGCTTGTGAGGTCTGCAAGATGGTGCCACCGTTCCTGGAGGCGAGGACAGAGAAAGCGCTGGGTCTCGGATATGTAGGATTTTCGATGTCCAGGGGCCATCCAGAGGACCTAGAGCACGTGTCCCCGCTCCACACAGTGTGGTGGGGACCACTGGCCCGAGGACGGTGACCGAAGCTGAGGACTGAGATGCGCTCACCCAGGGAGAGAGGGGGATGATGGCGGAGGGCTAGGCTGAGGAGCGGCCACCAGGGGGTAGGAGGAAAGCCTGGACAGGTGATTCCCGCGTCCACGAGAGGAGAACATGGAAGCGGGGGGAGGTCGGTCCTGAGCAGTCTGCTCGCACGCTGGGCAGAGGCCCTGGAGCCCAAGGCGCTCCCTGGTGGTCACCCACGTGGCCGCAGCGCAGACGTCGCCCGGAGCCCTCCGAGGAGCGCGTGCGCTAGGAAGGCGAGGGGACCGTCCCGGACACGCAGCGGTGCCCACGAGGGGGACCGCGGAGCTCCCCGGAACCCCAGCCCCCGCACCGGCTCCCGAGCGAGGGCGTCAGGCTCCCGGGAGAGCCCGGCCCGCGGAGCGCCCCACCACGAGCACGCATTAGGAGCCCACCACGCAGCCAACGGCCCGGGGTGAGCCCGTGTCCCAGCCTCTCGGTCCTTCCCGCCCCGGGACCAGGCCGCGTCCCGGCTCCTCCCCTCGGACCGCCCGGGGCCCCAGCCAGTCCACCAGGACCCGCCCCTCGGCCCACTCAGGCTCCTCCCTTTACCCCGCCACACCCTTCGCCACGCCCTCGCCGGCAAAGCCACGCCCCGGCCCCCCGCCCCTCCCCCCGCCTCTTCCTTCAGCACGCCCTCTCCGGCAAAAGCCACGCCCCTCGCCAAGACGCGCCCCTTGACGCGGGCCACGCCCTTGGCCCCGCCCACCCCACAAGCTGCTCCTCTCGGCCCACCTACCCCTCGCACGCTCACCCCCAGCCCCGGCCGGTCGACCAGGACCCACCCCTCGGTTCGGCTTCGCTCTCGGCTCCGCCCACCCCATCCAGGCTCCTCCTTCGGCCCGCCGTCCGCCCCGGCTGGTCGGCCATGCCTCGCCCCCGGCCCCCCCACCAGCGTGCCGTGCGCGGCGGCGGGGCGGAAGCTGGCGTGGCACAGCAGCTGCGCGCGGACGTCCTGGGGCGGGACTTCCGGCGGCCCTCGCGAGCGTCTTCCGGCCCCGCGCGAGGGAGGTCCGGCCGGCCTCCGGGACATGAAGGTGAGCCCCGTGGCGGCCGGCCGGGGTGGCCTGAGCGCCCCGCGTCCCGGCGCCTGCTTCTCCTCGCACCGCCTCAGTTCCCCTCCGCGAAGTGGGCGCGCGGGGGACGCGTGTGAGAGCAGGAGGCGCGGTGCAAGGGAGAGCTGGTGTGTGAGAGCGGGTTGTGAGGGAGAGTGAGTATGAGAGGGAGAGAGGGTGTGTGAGGGAGCGCTTGTGTGAGGGAGAGCGGGTCCGAGAGGGAGAGGGTGTGTGAGGGAGCAGGTCTGTGAGAGAAGGTGTGAGAGAGAGTGTGAGAGGAGCGGGTTGTGAGGGAGAGTGGGTATGTGAGGGAGAGCTGGTGTGAGAGAGGAGAGTGTGAGGCAGAGCTGGTGTGAGAGGGCTGTATGAGAGAAGGGGTGTGAGAGGGAGCAGATGTGTGGGGGGGGTGTATGAAGAAGAGTGGGTGTGTGAGGGAGAGCAAGTGTGAGTGGGAGTGTGTGAGGAAGAATGGGTATGGGGGGTGTGTGTGAGGGAGAGTGGCTATGTGAGACGGGATGTGTGTGAGAGCAGGGATGTGAGAGGGTGGGTGTGTGAGGGTGTGTGTGAGGGAGAGTGGGTGTGTGAGGTAGTGAGTGTGAAAGAGAGTGGGTGTGAGAGGGAGGGGGGAGTGAATGAGGAGAGGTAGAGAGCGGGTGTGAGAGATGGTGTGTGTGAGGGAGAGCTGATGTGTGGGAGAGGGGGTGGGTGTGTGAAGGAGAGCAGGTGTGACGGGGGTGTGTGTGTAAGGGAGAGTGTGGGGGAGAGCCAGTGTGAGAGGGGGTGTGCGTGAGAGAGAGTAGGTGTGAGGGAGGGTATCTGAGGGAGACCGAGTGTGAGAGATGGGGGGGTGAGGGAGAGTGGGTGTGAGGGAGAGAGCAGGGGTGTGAGAGGAGCAGGTGTGCGAGAGAGGGGGTGTGTAAGGGAGAGTGGGTCTGTGAGAGAGCGGGGGTGTGAGGGAGAGCAAGTGTGAGAGATGGGGTGGGGAAGAGCAGGGGTGTGAGGGGGAGTGGGTGTGCGAGAGAGGATGTGAGGGAGAGTGAGTGTGAGAGACGAGGGGTGGGAGAGAGCAGGGGTGTGAGAGGGAGCAAGTGTGTGAGGGGGAACGGGTGTGCGAGAGGGTGTGTGTGAGGGAGAGCGAGTGTGAGAGACAGGTAGGGGAGAGCAGGGGTGTGAGGGGGAATGGGTGTGCGAGAGAGGGTGTTGTGAGGGAGAGCAAGTGTGAGAGAGACAAGGGGTGGGGGAGAGCAGGGGTGTGAGAGGGAGCGGGTTTGGGGGGGTGTGAGGGGGAGCGGGTGTGCAAGAGGGTGTGTGTGAGGGAGAGTGAGTGTGAGAGACGGGTAGGGGAGAGCAGGGGTGTGAGAGGGAGCAGGTGTGTGAGGGGGGTGTGTGAGGGAGAGCGGGTGTGTGAGAGAGCAGGAGTGTGAGAGCGTGTGAAAGGATGTAGGTGTTGGGCGGCGTGTGGCGGAGAGAGCGTGAAGGGGGAGGTGGAGGGAGGGAGCTCGCAGGGACCAGTGTAGACGTGAGTGTGTGGGGATAAGAACCTGAGTGGGAGGCAGTGAGGGTGAGCAACACAACTTGGTGTGACTGAGGTGCGTGAGGCAGAGAGAGTGGTGGCCGCCCCGTTTCCAGAGACCAGGTGGCCAGGCCGGAGCGCCGGCCAAGTGACCCGGGGCTTGTTGGCGTGCACTGTGCGGCGCCCCACGGGCTGCCCTCCGGCCCGGCTTCCTCATCTGTGCATGGGAATAACAACAGTGCGGGTCCCGGGGTTCTGGAGAGAACTCCCGCGTAACACAGGGCCTGACGCGCAGCACGTGGTCAATAAATGTCACCTGGGGCTGTGGTCGTCCTGCCTCTTACGCCACCTTCACTTCCAAGAGCGCACTCGCCTCTCACCGCAGGGCACAGTTGGCTCCAAAATTTGTGCTCAAAGACGAGAACTCGTGTGACTGACCATTGCACTTGCTGTGGGAACAGCAGCATTCTGTTAATGAAAGTCGGCTCGAGGTCCAGCCAGGTGTTGGTGACAGACACTCAGGGCACATTGGTCAGCGTTTCTCAAATTGCACATCACTGAATAGTGAGACCAATTTGATGGGTAAAAACCGGTTTCTTAGAAATGAAATAGAAAAGAAATTTTCAGAGTGCATCACAGCAGGGTTACCTCTGATAGCTGCTTTTTCACTCTGCACACACGTATGACACGTACGTACACACGGGACACGCACGCGTGTACTGAGCTATGGCAAACTATTTCTTATTGTCAGTCTCTCTAAAAGACATTAGGAAGTGACTGCTGTGACTTGCCGTCCCTTCGTCAACACACTGCTGAAACAGTCCCGGGAGCTTGGAGCCCTTGACATAGTGGGGCTCTCGTCATTAGGGAGTTACAGAGCAGGTCTGAGACCCCGCCTCCGGAGGCTCTCTGGTTTGCATTTGTCATGAACCTTCTGAGTGACCACAAGTGTGAACAGATCACTACACACCACATTCCCTGTGCAGGGGCCGCTCTGCCCAAAGGAGGTCGTTGGTGTTTGGGGAAGAAACACGTTTTGATGTAAGAACAGGATGTGTGAGCCCAGAAATCTGTTCTGAAGAGCATGATGGGAGAATTTGCCCTCAGGCCTGGGGGCAGGGTGGCAGGGTGGACAGTGGGGAGCCATGGGAGGTCCCCAGAGAAGGGCCTTCCTGCAGCTTGAACACCCCACGCATCATGCAGCTTACACACCGGGTCCCCACCACCAAGTGTCAGGGAGACAGTCTGGAAAGTTCCATGGCTGGTCAGAGAGCAGCCCGCGTCCAAGTGCTTCTCCCTGAGGCTAATGCGTCTCATCCTAGGGCTGGCCCACCGGGCACAGGTGGTCAGCGGCAGCGCCAGCCCAGGCTTGCACTCCGTCTGGTTCTTCCATGGCTCCCTCCATCCGGCACAGAAGCCGGCAGAGCCCATCTTCCTTCCTCCAGATCAGCTCCCTCTCCACCCTTTCCTCTTTCCTTCCCTGTGGTGTGAGATCACAGGTCAAGGGTCAGGCAGGTCAGGTTGCAGGCAGGGGTTTCCGGGTGGGTGGGTGGGTGGTGGCCCTGCCGCCTGGGTGCAGGACACCAGGTGGTGCGGCAGGCCGTGGACAGAAGGTGGAAGGTGGGCACGGCCCCGTGGCTTAACGGTTAAGTGCGCGCGGTCCGCTGCTGGCGGCCCGGGTTCAGATCCCGGGCACACACCGATGCACTGCCGGGCACGCACCGACACACTGCTTCTCCGGCCATGCTGAGGCCGCGTCCCACATACAGCAACTAGAAGGATGTGCAACTATGACATACAACTATCTACTGGGGCTTTGGGGAAAAAAGATAAATAAATGAATAAAAATTAAAAAAAAAAAAGAGTAGAAGGGGTGTTGGGGCGCACCCCTGGGTTACTGCTGGGATGCTCCTGGAGGACCAGCCTCCTGCTTGGTTTCTTATCCCTTTCCATCCTGAGTGACCTGGACCTCTGCCCCAGAGCAGAGGAAGGGCCAGCAGCCATAGAGGGAGTCTGAGGAGACTGGGATTAAAGACAGGGTGCCCAGCAGAATGGGGCCTCCCCATCCTCCTTGTGGCTTCTGCCAGCAGGTGCAGTTGTCCCCCCATGTGCATCGCCTCTGCAGCCCCTCGTGCCAGCCCTTCGTTCTGGAAGCACGTACGTTCATGTGTCTTTCTGGCCTCATGGTGGCCAGGCTGCTCAGAGTGGGCCCTCACAGCTTGGCAGCTGCAGTCTCAGGCTGGCCAGGCAAGTTCTAGGTGATTCTGGGCCACCTGCCCCTGCCTCAGCCCAAGCCCTCTCCTCCAGAGCCCTTCCTAGCCCCAGGGCTATGGTGGAGGGAACCCAAGTTTCATGGCTGTGGTGGCTAGATGGTGGGGCTGGGGCTGCTCTCCTTGATGATTCTGATGCTGGAAAATGTCCCCCGAGGAGAGAGGCTGGTGGGGAGTGGAGTGGGCAGAGGGTGGAGATCTGGGTGTGGGTCTTCATATCCCTCCCCCACAGCCCCTTGGAGTTGCCCTTGCCAGCAGCTCTGCACAGGTGTGTCCCTTCTGTCCTCCTCAGAAGCCCGAGGGCCAGGTCAGGTCCGGCCAGATCAGGTCATTTGTGCCTCCCTGCCTCATGGGGAGGGAGCTGCAGGGCTGCTCACTCCAGGGCCCTGGTCTTCCGCTGTCCCACGCAGGTGTGCTGTGGGTCTGTCAGGTGCCACAACGTGGGCACTCACTGCCTGACGCAGCCCGGGCCCCCTGGTCTGCACCAGGAATACCCATCTTGCCCAGGGAAGTGACAGCCCAAAGTGGGGCAGCCTATGCCACTCTGCAAAGGGAAGCAGGTCAAGAGGAGAGTTTCGAGGGAGTGAAAACAGGCTCCTGGCCCAGAGGTCATTGGGGTGGAGAGGGTGGACGGGCAGGTACCACGAAGGGCCTGGCTCTGCCAGCTCCTGACAGGGCACGCCCTGCCTGGCCGGGCCTCTGACGTCCCCAGGGGAATGTACACCCACCTGCTGGGCAGGGGACTAGGTTGGCCTCCAGTCCTCAGGGCCCTGCAGGGTCTCCTCTGGCTCCACTGCCAAGCAGGCCCTCAGCTGGTCTGGAGGCAGCACGCTGCCTGGGCCGCGAGACTGTTGACCGATGTGCCCTTCACACCTGTGCATCTTAAGGCGTGGTCAGGGACGACAGCCAGACTGGGCCTGCTTGTTTCTCAGCTGCCCTGAGAGTGAAAGACCAGGAAGCATAATCGCCAGGGTGGGAGGTCCAGGACCTAAAAATGAACTGTACAACTAAAAAGTATAGTACTGGAAAGCCAGAAGATACAGAGAAAGCGAACAGTGGACAGGACGACTGGCAGCCCAGGCAGCAGCTCACGTACTGCCAGCGTCCCCCTCTCGTACTTTCTTCTGTGAGTGTACACACGTAGGCGTTTTTAAAGACAGATGGGATCATGCTAGGTATGTATATTTTGTGATGTTTGCACCAACCAGGACATCACGAGCATCGCGTGTCTGTCCGTATTCCATCGTGTGGAAGTGCAGGTTATTCTGTGTAAACAGCACTGCGATGAACATCCTCGCATGTTTTCCTTGTAGGTAGGAAGTCTCCCAAAGCGGAATTTCTGGAAGGAAAACACGTGTTGGAAAGTATAATATTCATGACCAGATTTTCATCCAAAAAGGTTTTCCCAACTTGAATTCCCAGGAACAGCCCAGGAGAGTTGCCACTGGCCCCAGTCCTCATGATAGTGTCCTTCTCCTTAGTCCTCACAAATGCTGGGCAGAAGGGCTGTGTGATTTCAGCGTCCGTTCCTTTGATTGCTGGTGAAGCCGAGGTGCCGTTTTGGGGGCTCTGGTATCTCTGTGTGTTATGGGGTATCTCTGTATTACGAGGTATCTCTCTGTATTACATCTCTTCACGTCCACTCCTTATTTTTGTAGTGGGGTATTTTTTATTGGAGTGTTTTTTATTTTCAATTTCTAAGAGTTCATTGCATGATATGGAGAGATAATGAATAGAAATTCATTGTCTAAAATGTTCTAAGTATTTTTTTTCTGGTTTATTATTTCTTTATATTTGCTCTTGTGTTTCCTAAATGAAAGCTCCACATTTTTATCTAGTAAACTCTATTGGCGTTTTCTTTCATAATCTCTACTGTTGCTGATATAGTTGGAAAAGCCTTCCCAACCCTTAGTTTACACCAACAGGTACTCATGTTTTCTGCTAGTCCTTTCTGTGGCTCTGTTATTTTGCAATTAAGTTCTCCAGTGGCCGTGATTTATTTGGGTTTGAGAGGGAAGTGGGCAGCCAACGTTTTCCTAGATGGCCGGCTGTCAGGGCGGCACTGAGGCAGCAGGGGAAGGCTCTCTGGCTGGTGGCAAGGAAGCCACTTTCTGGGTGTCTGAGAGGAAACGGGCCCAGCAGTGCTGGAAGCTGGACGCTGGCCATTGGGGCTGGCCCAGCACAAGGCTCTGTCCTGGGGCCAGTGCCCAGCCCAGTGCCACAAGGACCCAGGCCCTATTAGGACGAGTGCTCTACTCGGCAGAGGGGACACCCCACGCTGCTGATGGTCTCCACGTGCTCTATCTCTGCAGCCCCCTGGAACCTGAGGCTGGACCCTGCTGTGACCTGCCCACCATGAGGGCGCTCCTCAGTGCGCTCTGGCTTGCTCTGGCCTGCAGCTCTGTTCACACTACCCTGTCAAAGTCAGATGCCAAAAAGGCCGCTTCCAAGACGCTGCTGGAGAAGGTAGGAGTGGTCTGGGGACTGGCTGACCATTGTGCCTTCTTCCTGCCTGCTGGCGCTGGGTGCCTAGGCCTGGGATGCAGCCTGGGAGCCGGGAGGCTGAGGCCTTGGCCTCCTCTAGTGGCTGGCCCTGTACCGCCCTGGGGCTCTGGCTGGATGGTGTCGCAGGGAGCAGCTTCTGGCGCTGGGGCCTGAGGATGCACCTGCCCCCAGTGGGCCTGTCTTTGTGATGACGTCTAGATTTCGGTCCTTACCCCGCCTTCTGCTCCTTTCCACACCTGCGCTGTCCTCCCACCTCATTGTGTTCTGTAATATCCATGGCAGTTGAGCCAATCAGACGAGAGTCGTGCTGTGTTTGCACCATCTCTTTGTGCTGCTTTTCTGAGATGGCCTAGGGAGGCAGAGTGAGTCTTCGGGGACTGTCAGCTCCTCAGGGGTGGGCCTCTCCCTGCAGTCTCCTGGTCAGCAGCACCATGTTGATCCAGACAGTCCCTGGCTGAACAGAGAGGACCGCTGCTGTTCCTCAGGGTTCTGTGTTCTGCCTGAGGACGTGGACACTGATGGCATTCTTCCCGTTGCTTTTATTTCAGACTCAGTTTTCAGATAAGCCTGTCCAAGATCGGGGCCTCGTGGTGACGGACCTCAGAGCCGAGGATGTGGTTCTCGAGCATCGCAGCTACTGCTCAGCGAAGGCCCGGGAGAGGCACTTTACTGGGGACGTCCTGGGCTACGTCACTCCAGTAAGCTGGGCCCTGGGGTGGACAGGGAGGTCCCAAGGGCAAGGTGGTCACTGGGGTCTGTGTTCTCACCTCCCTGGGCCCCACTGTGGAGGTGCAGCAGGAGAGATGCCTCCCAGAGAAGCAGCGAGAGTCACTCTGGGGGTCCTCTGGGGGTTTGCTCCCTGTGGTGCAGCTGCAAGTGGGCTCACCTGTTGTCCATCCTCTGCTAGTGGAACAGCCACGGCTACGACATCGCCAAGGTCTTCGGGGGCAAGTTTACGCAGATCTCACCCGTGTGGTTGCAGCTGAAGAGGCGTGGCCGTGAGATGTTCGAGGTCACAGGCCTCCATGACGTGGACCAAGGTTCTTACCTTGCTGCTCGTCTGAGCTCATCCCAAGGGCCCAGAAGGGTGTGAGCACATGTCTGTGTGCATATGAGTGTGTGTCAGTGACTGCATGTGTGAATGTGTATGTCTGAGTGTGAGGATGAGAGTGTATCTGTGTGTGTGAGAATGTGGGTATATTTGTGAATATGAATGTGTGTGTGTGAGAATGTCTTGAGTGTGAGCATGAACACATGCGAGTGTCTGAGTGTGTCTGGGTATGTTTCTGAGTGTCTATGTGATTGTGTCTCTGTGTGTGTCTGAGTGTACATGTATGAGAATGTGAGTGTGTCAGTGTGATAACTGCCTGGTGTTGGCCTACACCCCCGACCCCCTTGACCGTTTACACATGTGCCCAGAAGGAGGTGTCCAGGGAAGGGGGCTCTGGGAGGGAACCAGGGCCTAGACACCCTGACAGCCACGTTCTGTGGGCACACACCCAAGTTTACACAGCTGTCCCCCTTTTGGGTTGGAGAGGGGATGTGTTAGCTAGTTGTGGAGTTCTGAGACCCAGAGCAATTCCCCAGTGCCAGGAGGGCAGTGTGTCAGAGGACTGAGCAGCTCTGGGGCCTGGCCCTCCAGGTACCCCTCAGCTCCAAGAAAGAGTCCCAGGCCCCTTGGAGTGTGGCCCCAAATGTGGCCGCTTGTGTCCCCCCTGGCCACGGGGTCTGAGCCACCCTGGCTGCTCTGCAGGAGAAGGAAGGGTGAGGTCAGGAAGAAGGGGGTGAGGTCAGGAGGAGGAGGGCATGGGACCTGTGGGTTCTCTCCCCCAGCCTCCCTTTTGCACGCCCATTGCACGGCCCCTGCATTTTCCTCTTTGGAGGTGGGCTGGGTCTTCACATGAGCAACACCCCTCATTGACTGTCCCCTCATGTCCCACAGGGTGGATGCGGGCACTCCGGAAGCAGTCCAAGGGCCTCCGCATAGGTGAGTCCGGCGGGCCTGGGCAGTCAGGGCAGCCAGCCCTTAGGCCACATGCCACAGGGTGGAGGTACTAGCTGGCGTGACCTCCCTGTGTGTGGATGAGTGGCCCCCGTGGTCGTCTTCTGTGCCTGGTAATGCAGGCTGTACTGCCCAGCACATCAGTCACTGCCCTGACCACTTAGAAACAAGGCTGGCCCCGGCCCGGCATTCACAGCCCTTGGTCCACCTGGGGTCCTGTGGCCCACCCACCTGGGCTCAGCCCACCAAGGCCAGTGCCTCCTTCGCCTGTGGACTTGCCCTCCCATTTCTTCTTCATTCACTCAGAGAGCGTTTATTGGGGCCCTGTCCTGGAGCTCACAGCTGGTGAGGGAGGGACACCGTCCCAAAGTGCAGGGGGACCAGCAAGGTCTGGGGAGTGGGGTGAGGGAGGTTTGGGAGCAGGTGACAGCTGAGCAGGAGGAGCCATGGGGACAGGGGCTGGGAGGGGACCTGCGGTTGGAGGCGATGAGGTAGAGGGTGGTCTAGCAGGAGCCAGGCAGCAAGGAGCTGGCGGAGCTGGGGTCGGGGTGCTCATGGGCACTCAGACCCAGTGTGTGCAGGGATAAAGGAGTCAGCATCTTCGTCCTTCCCCAACACCCCTGGTACCCGTCCCTCTCGAGGCCCTGTGGTGTTGGGACAGCCATGCTGGGTGCTCGGCTATGTGGTCACTCTGCTCTGGAGGCCAAGGGCCAGGGCCAAGTGCAGGAGGGTCACGGTCTCTGCGTGGGTCTGTCCCCCCAGTGCCTCGGCTCCTATTTGAGGACTGGACTCATGAGGACTTCCGGAACGTCTTGGACAGCGAGGACGAGATAGAAGAACTCAGCAAGACCATGGTTCAGATTGCCAGGGTGAGGCCTGGTGCTCTGTGGGGCCCGACACAGGCTGCGTCAGGCTTCCTCTTGACTCCGGGGTTCCCAGGGCTGGGGGGACTTCCTTGGGTAACGCCCAGCTTCCCTCTGCCCTGTTGGGAGGGTACCCACCCCAGTTGGCCAGTGCTGGGCTGCAGGAGTTGGGGAGCCTTCAGGCCCCCAGAGTTTGGAGTGAGGGGAGGCACATGAGTGGACAGGACACACAAGAGCCCTGGCATCTCTACTCCTGGCTCCTGTGGGGACCACCACACTGCCCCCTGTAGAGAGTGGCTTCTGGGCCTGCAGCATGGCCTTTGGGCCGGGACCTCACTGGATACGTGGAGGTGGCCAGCTTCGTGTCTGCCTTCCCATCCATCCCTCCTGGGTTGTCAGACCCTCCTCCCTGCTCCTGTTCCTTTCAGAGCCAGCATTTTGACGGCTTTGTGGTGGAGGTCTGGAGCCAGCTGCTGAGCCAGAAACACGTGTGAGTGGTCTCTGGGTGGCTCTCGGGCGGGGCTGCTCTGTGCTCTTCCTACCACGGGTGTCCTGGGAGGAGGCTGGAGGAAGGACGGGGTGAGGGATGCCCTATTTGGGAAGAGGGCCTTCTTCCCACCGTCTGCACCTGGGGGCAGAGATGGCACCCTGAGAGTGTTGGGGAGTGGCTCTGAGAATCCCGGGCACAGCTGGGGCAGGCATCCGGCTCTGACCATGCTGCTTTGCGACCCTGACACCTGCGTGGGTGGCGAAGGGAGCATGAGGAGCGTCGCCCAGGACAACCTGGTGGGAGAACTGTGGTCCAGGCGGTGACAGCGGAGTCGGGCTTGGACAAGAGCAGGAACTCCTTTGCTGAGCACAATAGAGCCTTCCTGGGGACAGTGAGAAGGGGCTAATGGATTGCGCCCAGGGGCCCTCGGAGCGGACAGCCACGAAGTCCTCTGGGAAGAGAATTGGCCACCCAGGCCCACAGGCTCTGTGCCAGCCCTGGGGGATTGCTGCATGGCCCCCTCGCAGCATCACCCACCCTGCCTGTGAGGCTGCAGGCCGCCCCACCTTGGTCAGAGTGACCTGGTAAGGCAGGAGGGGTGGAGAGTCACCTGCAGTAGCCACTGCCCCTGCCTGTCAGGGACATGGGGTTCAGCCCCACAAAAGATGGAGGAGGGACTGAGTTCGCCTCCCCAGGGCATCCTGAACGCAGGCACGGCAGAGCGGTGATGCAGCCCACACGGCGGGCGCCAGGGACACCGGGAGCCTGCAGTCAGCTGCAGCCGTTTCTGGAACTGGCCAGCCCTCCCTTTCTGCGTGAAGGAATCCCAGCTCAGGGCCAGGCCTGAGCCCCACTTCTCCATGCCTGCCTGCCCCAAGAGGGAGCACTTGGCTGGGGCTCTCCTGGGGCATTCCCCCTCAGAGCCAGCGCCGTCCCACCTTCTACCCTCCTGCAGCTGTAGGCCAGTTTCTCCCGACGTGGAGGTGGTGTCACCACACAGATCTGCCTCCAAATGCAGGCAGAAGGTACATTGTCACGGGGGGCCGTGCAAAAGGGGAACAGGACTCCCACCTAAGGCCCAGAGGAAGGTGTGCCTGGAGCCAGGCATGTCCTGGGGCTCTCTGCCCTGGGTGGGGGTGGGGAGACCGCCATCAGCCCTGGGGGATGAGGGAAGGGTGGGGGGGCAGGCCTGCCCGGACAGCTGCAGCTCCCACCCTACCTGGGCCCAGGCCCCCAGCCGTGGGTTCCTGCTTCCCCGTGCTCAGACACCCGCCCCAAAAGGTGCCTCTGAAAGGCTCCCCCTCCTTGCGCTTCTGCCCTGGGAGGCCTCTGGGGCCGGGTTCTAGACGAGAGCTAAGTTGAGTGTGAGATGGTCCTCGTGTCTGTCAGGAGCTAGCACAGCACCTGCCTGTGAGGGGCCCTGGCTCTCTCTCAGCCGAAAGACACTCCCCCCCACCCGAAGGCTCTGCCTGGGTCCTTCGTGGGTGGCCGCAGCCCTGCCGAGGTGACCTTCTGGCACCTTCTGAGGAGGGGGAGCCTGAGACAGATCCCACTGCAGCTTCTTGTGAGACAGCTTCGTTCTCTCTGGGCTCAGGGAGGGAGGGCAGGGGGCAGGAAGTTGCCTGAGCTGCAGCAAGGATGCAGCCGGGCGAGGAGGGGGCCAGAGTGTCCAGGATCCTGAGGAGCAGGGCGGAGACTGGCCGGCCCGGCGGATGGCTTCAGGCATACTGCTGCCCGGAAGCCACCGCCCAGGACAGGCCTGGCCATGGTGAGGCGTGACTGGGACATTTAACAAGGCTGCTACTCCTGCCCCCACCCATCATCCCCATTAGGCTTCTGACTAGATGTCTGAGGGCCCTGTTTCCTTCCAGAAGCACCAGGTCAGCTTGGAAAGGCCATTGTTGGCAAATGCTAAGGGGCAGGTGGCTGTCAGCTATGGGACTCGCGCCCGTGGCCCATGCAGTGTGAAGGGGGGGCAATGGCATGGTGTCTCTGTGACGCCCTGGGCTCCAGGTCCTCCCAGCCCTCCCTCCCACAAAAGTCCTCCGGAGAGGAGCAGGCGGCTTGAGCAGTTGGAGTGGGCGGGGATGTGGCCTGTCTCTGATGGGAGGCCCCGTCACCTCTGTTCACACCCAGCATGCGGCAGGCCTGCTTCCTGGGCACACTGGTGACCTTGGGGTGGCCCCTGCGACTCAGTCCCAGCAGACACCCAGCTGGGTGGGTGCTGCCCCAGGGGCACGAGAACACCCCTCCTTTCTCACGAAGACACAGTCCCCAGGGCAGTCCCAAGAGCCAGGAAGGTGAGCGACAGTGACAGGTACTGATGGTGGCAGATGGTGTGACGGTTCCTGGCAGAGCCGATGCCAGCCTAGAGAGGGAGGCTGGCCTCCTCAAGCCTTTGTGCTCCCTGGAGGGCATGCTTGACCGCCTCCGGCCAGAGCCACCTCCTTGTCGGGGAGTCACAGCGGTACCCGATCTCTTCCACTGGGCTTGTTTCCCGTCAGGAGGCTCTGAGAAGCCGCCATGGTCCAGCGGTTGGCTTGCACCAGAACCCATCCCGCCACGGTCCAGTGATCTGCTCACACCAGACCCCATCCCAGCCTCCTCAAGAGAACTGGGGCTGGGGACCGAGCAGCTGGCCCCGCCCTGCCCTCACCTGTGCTCTGCAGACGCAAGCTGGAGCTGAGCAGGGCCTGGAGGCCGGCTCCCCACACTGTTCCTACTGTTCGCTGTTCCTGGTGTGAGTCCTGGGCACCCCAGACCCTCTGACCTGCACTGCGCGGGGCCAGTGGACTCGCTGCCCGCTCTCCAGATGCGGGCGGCTCCTGAGGGGCTGCGGGGAAGGACTGAGGGCCAGTCTGAGCCAGGGCCTCCCACACACAGTGACGGTGGGGCCAGGCCAGTGTGGACACAGCGTGAGGCCGTCTGGAAACCTGAGCGCACAGCAGCACCGCTGTCTGCGGGGCTGAGGCTCGTCAGCACCAGCCACTTGGCATTCCACGTGCTGCCTGTGGTATGAGCGGGCTGGAGGCGTCATGACAGGTGCTCCATCCCGCTGGCTGGCTCTGAGACGCTGCCACCTCCTGCACCATTCTGGGCCAGAGGAGGCTGTGACGCCACCTCCCTCTCTGCCCGCCCCCCCCAGTGGCTCACTGCCCTCTAAGACACTCCTCTCCCATCTCCGAGCACGAGTGGAGGGGCATGCCTGGTGCCCCTTCTGTGTGTCCCAGAACTTAGGGTGTTAGCCCCCCTGAACCCTTGCCTGAGGCCGAGGCAGACAGAGCTCAGTGCCCAGGTGTCCACCAGGCTGGGGGTTGCTGCATATGGGGGCTGGGCAGTCAAGGCCGGTGCCTGAGGGTGCTAGGTTAGGGCCCCCCTCAGCTCAAGGCGCTAGGCGGTGGAGCTGCCCGCCGTTCTGATCCTATGGCACCTACTGAGGTGCTCCGAGGCCCTCAGTGTGTCCTGTGGGGTTTCACAGCCTGGGCTGACCCAGCCATCAGCAGGTCAGCACGCTGGGCCCACGTGGGTCCTTCCTCACCCCCTCACCAGGCTGTATGGGGTCATTAGAGGTGATGGGTGCTGCACAGACACCCCTCTGCTCTCGAGGGGACCCTGAGCATGAGGAAGGATGGGCCAGCTGGTTCTGGATAGGCCCAGTTGGGGGGAGGGTGACTCTCACGGGATCTGCCGGGCTGTCCCAGTGCTCGAGCACCTGCGCTGTTTGGGGCCACACTGGAGCCCGAGTCTCCAGGGCAGAAGGTGCCCGTGTAGGGCCAAGCTGCTCCTGACCACCCTGACGCTCTTCTCTGTTGTATGCAGGGGCCTCATCCACATGCTCACCCACGTGGCAGAGGCGCTGCACCAGGCCCGGCTGCTCGCCATCCTGGTCATCCCGCCGGCCGTCACCCCTGGGTAAGTGCCGCGCTAACTCAGGGCGGGGGAGGCCCTCCATGGTCAACACCCAGCCCCATCTGGGCAGACGCTGCGGCCGCGGCACCCACAGGCATGGGCAGTGGGGCTCTGGGACCCGCCTCAGCACGTCCTCGTGTGTTGGCGGGAGAAGGCCACATGCCTCCCCCCAAACGTTTGAAGACATGTTGAAAGTCTCTGCATTTGAGGGACAGAGTCTTTTAGACTAGCTTCCACTCGCCCTCAGGAAGGGTGGATCTGGCATTTCGGCTGGCACCCTCTCTGCCCAGGAATCTTCACCCTGAGCTACTGGTACCTGGGCCAGAAGTGGACGACGGTGTGAGCTGGGGCTGCCTGCGTATCACCCTGTAGTGACCAAGGCAGGAAGCTCCCTCTGCATGGTAGCTGAGGGGACACCTGCAGGGAGGGGACTGTGGCCAGTGTATCCAGGACTGAGGGTGGGGGTCCCAGGCACTGCTGATGTGCCCTGGGCCCGGCTAGGCCAGTCCCTCCCTGCCACCTGGGCCTGCCCATGTGCATTTGCGGGACATAGGCATGGGCTGTGCCTTGGTGGCTTGGGAACCAGCAGTTTCTCCAGAGGCTCTGGCTGACGGTGCCCCGGAGCTTGTCTTGTTGGTGTTTCTCCTGCTCCCCACGCTTGCTGACAGCACCCCCGACAGACAGCCCGATCAGCGCCTCCTCCCGGCTGCAACAGCAGCAGCGGGATGGAGTTATGCTGGTCCTTCACCTCGGAAAGGCGGAGCGCTAACCACAGGGAACAATAGCCCCAGGAGGGGTCTGCGTGCAGGCACATGGGGAGCGGTGCCTTTTCTCTGCTGGCCCTGTGGCTGTGCTGTCCTTGAGCCCTGCGCCCAGGGTCACAGCCACGCCCCGGAGAGTGCTGCCGCCATCACCATCAGTGGCGCTCTTGGAGCTTTTGCTCAGTTCACCCACAGATGGAGACACCAGAGCCAGTGAGCTGGTTTAATTAGAGCCCCAGGCCGTCTTTGCTGGGGGCGGGGCCCTCGGGCTGAGCCCTCTGAGCCCTTGTGGCTCCTGGGACCCCTCAGGAAAGCCCTCCCCTCTTGCTTAGCCTCAGGGAGCTGACCTCAGACTGAGGAGGGCTGGTTTCCTTCCTTCCTGCTGGGCCCAGCGCCCCAGCTCACTGCTGCCAGTGCCATCTCGGGCACCCCGTGCTACCCTACGGGTGAGCTCCGCAGCCTCACAGGCAGGCGTCCACCCTGACGTAGTCTGTGCCTCCCCCCATCTCCAGCTGCCCCTGTGGCTTCCTGGGGTTTAGAGCAGGCTGTCACCTCAGAGTCAGGAAGGTGCTGAGTGGGATGAGGGGTGCTCCTAGGGAATGCCCCTCTGCACAGAGGCTGCCCCTGGTCACTTCACCTGAGGGCCAGAGAAAGCCTATGACCAGAGTGTGTGGAGGGCTCCAAGGGGGCGGTGGGCACAGGTCACTCGTGAATGCAGAACAGGTATGGAGGGCGGCTGTGTGCGCGGATGGGGTGGAGGTCCAGGCTGGAGGGCTGAGGGACGCTGGCTGGCCAAGGGCAAGTGGGCCTGGGCCTAGTGGGGCAGCAGCCACAGAGGAGCAAGGGCAAGAGGAGGAAGCGGTCGAGGCCCGGGTGACTGGGCCTGTGGGGAGGAGACGTGGGTGCCCCAGTCGCAGACGGGCACTGCATGTGGACAGTGACACCCACCTTCTGCACGTCGCCAGTTAGTTGCCCCGTCAGGGTTGCTGTGGGGGTGGCACAGCGGGCAGCATCCACATGCCAGGCAGTATGTGGCAGGGGCCGGTGACCATGTGCAGAGCCTGCACTGACTCGGAGGAGGGTCAGCCTGGGAAGGGCAGGTTGGGGGCAGGACTTGGGGTTGACCATCCGATAGGCGACATTTCAGCCTTGAGGGTGGGTGGGGGCAGCAGGTTCATGATGTCTTGGGGGAGATGCTGGCAGAGGAGGGGGAGATGGATGGTAAAGCCTTTTGGATGCGGCCGCAGGGGTTTTAAGGATTGGGGAGACAATATGGGATTCCCTCAGGGGGAGAGGGCACTTGGCCTCACACAAGGTGGGGTCTCTAGCAGGTTGGGACATGGCAAGGGGTTGACGGTGAGTCTGTGGCCCTAATGCCCGGCCTGCGACTCTCCAGCGATGGGGCCCAGGCCCAGAGATGGCAGCCGGACGAGGTGATGGAGGAGGTAGGCATCTACCATGTGGGGTGAAACTGGAGGGGCTGAGGGGCAGAGGGTTGGGAGTCTCAGAGAGAGAGGAGGCCCTAGAGGCGGGCTGACAGGAGGAAGAGTGAGGGGGAGACAGACCCCCAGGCATTCTCCCCTGAAGCGGGCAGCAGGGCTGCAGGTCCCCACCCTGCCTGGGCGAGCTGTCTCGGTGTCTAGGAGGAAACCGGTAGAGGCCGTGCTCATGTCCACTGTCAGTGGCCGCACGAAGAGAGGCAGGGGCTGCACGATGTTTGCTGGGCCCCCCCCCATCTGCAGTGCCCCAAAGAGACGCATGTGCCCAGCCCCGCCTGGAGTGCCCTTCCCCCCTCCAGCAGCTGTGGAGTCTTAGGGTGAAGGGGCCACGTGGCTGCCTGGCCTTCTGGAAAGAGGGGCGCCCATGGGAAGAAGGTGACTCGGCAAAAAGCATCTGACAGACTGGAGCCGGCCGGGAAGGAGTGTGAGGCAGCCAGAGCCTTCAGGAGCAGAGGGGCCAGTGGGCATGGGGCGTCCCGGGCCAGGGCACAGAGCCCCGCAACCCTGTGGGCCGGCACTTGACTTCAGGGCAGAAGCAGCACCCATCTGAAGATTCTGGAATCGAGGGGCTGCGTGGCCATTATCTCCCCTGCAGCTGCTTGGGTGGGCTGCCCAGGACAGGAGCGGCCGCTCACGGGGATGTGTTTTCCTTTTGTTTCTTCCTCCCTGGGTTTTCTTTCGTCAGAAACTAACCCAGAATGCAAGGATTTCCTCTTGAGCAGTAATTCTTGTTTATGGGAAGTCAGGCCGTGTCTGTTGACCAGCTGCTCTTGAGTCTCCACGTGCGTCTCATGGGTCACAGAGACAATGGCGGGGCTGCAGTTTGGGGGTGGTGCCGTCACTCCCTGTGCTGCACCACGAGGAGTGGGGGGCTGCCTTCCAGCCCAGTCCAGGCGGGCCTCGCCGAGACCCCGGGCCTCCCCCTACTCACTGGGATGCTTCATGGGTGCCAGGTGCTGGCTGCACGGCGGGGAGGCGCCCCCAGTGCCTGGCAGGCATGTCTATACCTGGGGGTCCCTAAGTGGGGCCAGACAGGCTGGCAGGCCTTTTCTCTAAAGGGCCAGAAGTAACTGTTCTGGGCTTGAGGGCCGTGGGCTCCTTGATGAGGAGCCCTTGGGCTGAGGGCTCTGCAACTGGCCAGGGTTCCTGGCGTGGGGGATCTCAGGGCTAAGCCAGACGCAGGGCACAGTGTGGAACCATGCACACAGCAAGAACACTCGGGGAGGCGTGTCCTTAGGGAGAGGGCGTGTTCCTTGGTTTCTTTGCCCCTGGGGCCTGCAAGAGTCGGATGCTCAACATGTGGTTGCCATCACCGGCTGTGGCCTGGTGCTGCTGCCTGCCTGAGCCTTGCGGTGAGGCCAGCTCTGCCTGGAGCACCTGGCATGGCCCAGGTACCCCTGCAGAAGCCCAGGGCATGCGCCAGAGGGGCAGGGACATGGTGGCGCTGTGGACGGGTGGATGGATGGGGTGCAGGAGCCTGGCTCATGGTGGGAGGCTGACACCCACGTGAAAGAGTGGGCCCAGAGGAGCTGGATGCCCCAGGAAGGGGTAGTGGGTGCGGGGGACAGTTGGACCATGGGACAGACCACACAAAGCAGAAACTGTCTCTGACAGGGCTGCCACTGAAATTGGCCAAAGAGGGGGAGGCTCGGGGGGTTGTGCCCCACGTGAGCCTGGTCCACACTCTGACGGTCCTCTCAAACAGTGGTCTTCTCAGAGCAGAGTGCTAATGGGAGAAGGGGGCTCGGGAAAACCCTACCCTCCCCGACCCCCGGGGCTGTCATTGGGGAGCGTCTTCTTGAAGGAATAGTCGGCCAATAGAAGTGAGGCCTTCCGCCACACTGAGTAGGTTTAAACAGAAGGGTTTCTCTTTATGAGGTGAGCAAGGCCCTTGGGGTGGCAGGCCTCCTGGTCCCCTCCCCCAGTTCATCTCCCCACATCCATCTGCCTGAGTCCTGCCCCAGGCCGGCCCCCCTTCACATCTGGTCCTGGCACTACCAGGACCTCTGGGGGTGGGGTCTCTCTCTCAGTTGAACAGGAAAGCCGTCAGACACCAAATGCCCCCTGGGAGCCCCTGGGTGTTGAGGTGACCAAGACATAGGACTAGGGGGATGCGCCCCTCTCCTGGGCAACCACAGTCTTCAGCCACAGCCCTGTCTTCTCTTGGGAGCCATTGAGTCCAGAAATGGTGGGGCTTGGATGTCTGTGGTTCCTGAGTAAATGTCCCACTTGGAAATAGGTGACCCTTTGAAACGTGGAAGCGTTTTCCTGGAGCTGATGGCACCCGCTGTTTCTGTGCGTCCCAGAGCTGAGGCCTGGAGGGATCCAGGGCATTTCCGCACGAGCCGGCTGCAAACAAGCTTCATTCTGCTGGGGCCTGGCATCTTCTGGCCAACTTTAGGGGGCTGGTCTCAAGTGTGGCCATCGGGGAGTGTGATTGTCACTGCCCAGCGAAGTGTCTGCTCCCCAGACACATCCCCGAGCTCCCTGCTGTGGCCAGTGCCCGTCACCAAGTCTTCTTACCCTGTCCCTCTCAGGGATGGGCTCTGGGGTCATGGGGTCACTGTCTGCCAGTATTGCTTATCCTCAGGTCCCACAGGCACCTGATGTCTTTGGGGGGCCGGGACCTGGCATCTTGGCTGCTCCCCCCAAAGGTGGCTGGCCTGGGCAGCGTTTAGACAGGGTATCTCAGGGTCGCCCGGGTCCTGTGGAACAGGTGACCATCTCTGACGTCCCTGCAGTGGGATGCCCCTGCCTGGGGATTGGGGGTGCCGGCTGTGAAGAGGGGTCCTGTCTCTGCTCCTCTTTTTTTTTTTTTTTTTTAAAGATTTTATTTATTCATTTTTTCCCCCCAAAGCCCCAGCAGATAGTTGTATGTCATAGGTTCACATCCTTCTAGTTGCTGTACGTGGGACTCGGCCTCGCGCTGGACGGAGAAGTGGTGCCTCGGGGCGCGCCCGGGATCCAAACCCGGGCCGCCAGCATCAGAGCGCGCGCACTTAACCGCTAAGCCACGGAGCCGGCCCTCTGCTCCTCTTGTGGAAGGGGAATTGGAGGGCCCCCGAGGGACGTGGCAGTCTTAGGGGCTGCTGTAGGCAGAGCAGGTAGGCTAGCAGACTAGGTGTGTCTGGCAGACGGGCCACCTGGGCTCCCACCCACCCCAGCCCGAGGCCCTGGGAAGAAGGGCACCCTGTGCTTGCCGGCGTCGTGTGGGCAGCAGGGGCCTCAGCTGAGAATGGGGTGAGGCTGGCCTGGTGCACCTGCCCCCACCCGTGGAGATGGGGCTGTCCGTAGCTGGGCTGATCCCACCCTCAGATGCATAGGGGGCAGGAAGAGACGAGCCTCTGCTTGACCTCCGACAGCAAGGCTGCCCACTGGCCCTCACAGCCCCACCCGTGCTCCTGGAGGGTGGCCCTGACCAAGCTGCGGGCTGCCCTGTAGCTGCCCTTGAGTGCCGAATGACTCTCCAGGGAAAGTGACCTGAGGTCCTCCAGAGCGGAGGGAGGAAGGGGCATGGGCTGGGAGCCCTCCCAGCCAGCTTGCTCTGGCCTCAGTTGGGCCCAGGTGTCAGCTGGAGAGGGGCAGGCCAAGGGGCCGGCAGGGCAGTGGGAGATGGGCCATGGTGGCCGGGCTCGTCTCGTTGCAGGACAGACCAGCTGGGCATGTTCACACACAAGGAGTTTGAGCAACTGGCCCCCGTGCTGGACGGCTTCAGCCTCATGACCTACGACTACCCAACAGCACAGCAGTGAGTGTGGGTGCCATGGGGCCCCGTGGATTCCGTGACTTGGAGCAGAGATGCCCATTCCTTCTGGGGCCTGGACACTGGGCACTCAGAGAGGCGAGGCCTGGCTTCCTGCCAGCCTGCTGTCAGCTCTTGATTCCAGGGATGTGGAGGGCCTGGTCTTTTCTTCCCAAAGCCCACAATGGACCCTGAATTGGGTAGCCTTTTCATTCTGGAGGCACGTGACAGAGGGCAGCAGGTAGCCCCCATGGGAACACCATCCCAGGGCATCCGCTCACGTCACCAGGCCCTGGCTGCTGCATGGCAGCCGCTGGCACTGGGCTTGCTGCATTGCTGAGGAGAAGGTACTCCTGTAGGCAGGGGCCACTGCCCCGGGGGAGCCTTGGGTGTGGACAATGTCTGCCCACTGCTGCCTCTCCACCTCGGGCCTTGACCTCAGCTGCTTTGCTCCCCACAGAGGGCCCAGGCGAAGCAAATGCAGGCACAGGTGTCCAGCAGGAAGGCACCACAGGAAGCCTGAGTGTCTGCTGCCCTCTGCTTCCCATCATGTGCATGGACCCCTGCCCCAGCCTGGGGTGCCTGAGGTGGATGGCCTGAGGCCTCTGCCTGCCGCTGAAACCTGCTCCTCCCTCACACCTGCAGGCCTGGCCCCAATGCGCCGCTATCCTGGGTGCGAGCCTGCGTCCAGGTCCTGGACCCCAAGTCCAAGTGGCGGAGCAAGATCCTCCTGGGGCTGAACTTCTACGGCATGGACTACGCAGCCTCCAGGGATGCCCGCGAGCCTGTCATTGGGGCCAGGTGAGCTGGGGACGCCTCACCATGCCTGGCAGCCTCCTGTGCTGCCCTGCACCCGAGGCCCTTGTGCTGGTGGGTCTGCACGTCTCCCGGAGGCAATGGGGTGGAGCAAGGGAGAAAGCCTGGCAGCATCCGAGCCTGCGCACCAGGCACCTGCAGGGGAGCCTCTCTGAGTCTCTCTGGTTGGGGGGTGCTGTCCTAGCGCCCCTTAAGCTGGGGTACCCCCCGAGTTTCCCCCGTCGGTGGGCATGTGGACATGGTCCTGGCCCGGGACTTCAGCTGCTGTGGAGGCTCTGCGTTCTGTTGTTGATCCAGACATCCCCCTGGTATTTCTCTCTTCTGCCTGAAGGACACCCTTTACATTTCTCCCTGTGTGGTTCTGGTCTTGTTGAATTCTTTTCAGTTTATTTTGCTTGTTGTTTTTTGGAAGATATTTTTGCTGGGTATAGAATTCTGGGTCGTCAGGTTTTTTTCCCGTACTTTCATGATGTCACTTCACCATCTTCCTGCTGCGTTCTGTCCAATGAGACTCTCGAGGTAGTTAACCTCTGTTCCTCCGTGCATACTGCCCCCAGCACCCACTGCAGTTTGGTTACGATGCCTTCGTGTAGTTTTTTTTTGTTTCTTGCACCTGGTTGTCATTGAGCTTTTTGGATCTGTGGATTTATACTTTTTATGAAATTTGGAGAAATTTAGGCCAGTTTCTCCAAATATTTTTTCTGTCCCTTTTTCTCTTTCTAGGCCTACAAATGACATACATATTAGGGTAGTCGATTTGTGCCCCACCCACTGATACTCATTTTATTTTTTTGGACTTTTTTTTTTGTTTTCTTTTATTCGCTTTTCCTGCTGTCTTCAGATTCACTGACTGTTTCTTGCCGTGTCTGCTCTGCCGTTAATCCCACCCAGTGCTTCTTCCCCTCACGTGTTGTAGTTCGCACATCTAGCAGTTTCTTTGGGTCTTCTGTGTGTCTCCTAAACTCCACGAGTGTGGACTCAGCTCTAACAGCTGCTTGGCATCCTTGCTCGCTGCTTCCATGTTGAGTCTGTTCTGGGTCCGGTTGGCTGGCAGCTCACTCCATGGCCCTGTCCAGCCTACCCTCTGCCATCTAGCTCCTGGGTTAGATGCTACATGCTGTGAATTTTGCTGCACTGGGCATTTTAGCATTCCTAAATCTTCTCCACCTTTGTTCTGAGGGCCATCACGTTCCCTGAAACCGTGTCAGTCAGCCAATTTTCTCGAGAACCTGGTCCTGTCAGTGGAGAGTGTGTCCAGAGACCATGATCTGGGCATGCGCATGCCCAGTACAGCTCTGTTGTCCTTTTCAGGGCAATTTCTGCGGGTCACCCACAGGGTGACCTGCTTGCTGCCAGGGACACAGCACATCAGCCCAGGCAGGGGGCCCCTCCTGATCTGAGGAGGGGGCCTCCAGAACCAGGAGGAACGCCTGTGAGAGGCTGAGACCACCCCTTACCTCAGCTGCCCTTGGATTGGGCCACTTCATGGGTGGGACGTCAGGGTCAGCCATGGTCTGAGGCAGGGACAGAGAACTGGTGGTCCTGCCGAGACCATGTCCCATGTCCACATGGCTGGTGCTGGGGTCAGAGGTCTGGTGCGGGCCTGGGGTGCCTGCTCCACTCCTGGCCCCTGGTGCTGGGCACGGCTCTGCATCTCTGAACCTGGGCCTGTCCCTCTGCTGAGAAGGGCCTGGGGAAGTGGTGTGGACAGTGGGAGCTGGGGCAGGAAGGCCAGGGAGCAGCTCCTCAGCTCCTGGGGGGCTCTTGCCTGGGGGCAGCCCGGGGCTGAGATGGTGCCCGGCCACTCGCTGGGGCGTTACCCCGTCTTCCTACAGCAGAGTGGGGCTCTTGGTGTCTGGCCAGCCTGTCCCTCAGAGCCCCACATGTCTGTCTGTCCTTCTGGTCAGGGCTGCTCTGTGCTCTGCCCCTCCCCCACCACAGCCCTTCCCTGACATGGGATTCCTGGGAGGTTCTAGAAGCATTGCTGGTGGCCCCCCGATCTTTCCCCACCTCCCTGAAGGGGTGTCCATCTCAGGGAGGCATTGAGTGGAGCTGTGTCCAGAGTTTGGGCTCCCGGCATCAGTCTTGGGGGAGCCTGGCCATGACGTCTACTGACCAGTCAGCCAGGAATAGGAGGGTGCTTTCTCCTGCTGTGGAGGGAGGCGTCACCCAGCCAGGGCCGCCTGTGTGGAGCCAGAGGGACCTAGTGCCCCCAGCCACCTCTGCTCCAGCCTCAGGCTCTGCTGACCCAGGCCTGTGGGAGGCAGGAGCTGTTGGCCTTGAGGTACCACTCGTCTCAGTCAGCTCAGGCTGCCACACAGACACCACAGCCAGGGGGCTCGAACCACAGACGTTACTATGTCCGGTCCTGAGGCTGGACGTCCGAGATCGAGGCATGGGCAGGGCTGGTTCCTTCTGAGGCTTCTCTCCTTGGTGTGTAGATGGCCATCTTCTCCCTGTGTCCTCACATGGTTGTCCCTGTGTGCGCATCTGTGTCCTGATCTCCTCTTCTCATAAGGACCCCAGTCACACTGGACTAGGGTCCACCCTAGTGAGCTCACTCTACCTTAATCACCTCTTTAAAGACCCCATCTCCAAATACAGTCCCATCTGAGGTGCTGGGGGTTAGGGCTTCAATGTATGAATTTGGGGGGGCACAGTTCATCTCCCATACCACCTGAGGGGTGAAGAATTATAATTTAGTCACTAAATGTGGACCCAGCAGTAGCCTATGAAGTGGGGTTGTTGCGGCCATTAGCCCCAGCTCGTGTGGGTCAGATGACAAAAGGCACCACGCGGCCTCTGCTGGCCACCAGTGCCCAGCCCCTGACTGTTCTGAGGAGAGGCTGGGGAACAAGGAATTTCAATTACAAAGGTGTGTGTGTGCACGTGTGGGTGCACATGTGCGTGTGCCCCTGTACACACATACAGACTTTTCTCTGAGGCACTGGGATTCTGGTTGCCCCCCAACCAGGGACGGAAGGCTGTATCCCATCCCAGTCCCCACCCACAGCTGGGAGATCCCCCCACAGAGGCTACAGGCCCCTGCTCCTCCTCTTCCCAGATGTGCCCCTCACAGGTAACTGTTGGCGCCCGCCTGGAGATAGCAGGTGATGGAGATCTGGGTGTGGCTGGGCCCTGTGTTGGGGACGGGCGCTCACCGCCCTGCCTCACCTTGGTGGGGAACAGATGCCAGCTCAGCAGGGCCTCCCTCGGGGCCGGAATAAAGACCGGCTGCCAGAGCGGGCAGAGTGCTGACCCAGCAGGGCTGCAGCTCACGCACCTCAAGGGCATGCAGTGGGTCGGGCAGCGGCACCTGCTTGCTCCTGCCCAGTGAGTTTGTCCTGCAGAGGGCGGCTGAAGGGGACCAGACGGAGATGACAGATCTGTGACGGGCAGACAGAGTCAGGCACTGCCAGCCCAAGGCTTTAGAAGCCAGCTGGGGGTCGTGTCTGCCTTTGGGGAGGGCCGTGGTGTGGTGCTGCCCCAGAACCCCCTCTGTGAGTGAATGGTGCTCCCACCTCCCCGGGCAGCTGAGTATCTGAGTGGGGTGTCTATGCCTGCTGGGCCGCTGGCTCTCCTCAGGACGGCAGACCCTGAGGACCTTCCTCCCAATCCCGACTCGGCCCCTCCCGTTGACCTGCCGCCCGGTGGAGGCCACGCAAGCCCAGCGCAGTGTTCAGTCAAGGTGTGCAAGGTCGCACGAGCTGCCATTTGGGGGGCCCCAGGGTCCTCCCCATCCGGTCCCCTCGCACTCTCTTCTCTGAGCTATGGTGACTTAAGTGACATCAGCATCAGCTCCATTTGCACCGAATTTCTGTTTTTCTCACTGAAACTACTTTTGAGCTGCAGCTGCCCCTTGTAGCACAGGGAAAAGATATGGGCACCCCTCAGTCCCATCCGCACCCCCTACACACGTGCGCCCCTGGGCCAGGCACCTGCCTCCTGGACCAGTCTGCTCTCCAGTCCCCAGCCTTCTCAGGAGCCCGGACCAGAGCCTACCCCTTGGCCCTCACCTGCCGCCCGCCATCTGACCACCCGCCCCCCCGAGTGAGCCTCAGGCGTGGGGAACCTGTCAGGCCAGGCCTCCGCTGACCCCTGTGGGTTGTTGTCAACCTCCATTGCCCACAGCCTGATTTCTTCCAGGCCATCCTCCTGGCTTGCAGAGCAGGGTTGACATGTGTGCTCGTGGGTGTTGGGGGGTGTGGCATGCAGAGGACCCTGGGAGGCGTGGGTCAGGGCCTCTCCCACAGCTAGGCAGCCCTCCCCCTTCTCAGGGCCAAACCCCTTCCATCTGGTGAATCAGACAGAAGAGCTTAGCAGTGGGGCTCAGGGATCGATACCTGTGTCTGGCAGGGGAGAGGAGGGCAGCCTCAGCAGGGGACAAGCACGTTCACTCAGGTCCTGCACCCCCAGAAGTGTAGCTCACCAGGACACACACCCCAGCCAGTCGCCTGCAAGAACCTACCATGACAGCCCCTGCTCCCCATGCGGGGGACAGGCTAGTTGTGAGGTGCTGGTGAGCCCCATGGCCACTCGGGCTCTCTCCAGCTCCCTCACCGACAGAGCTCAGGTAGCCTGTCTCGGGATTATCTGCCCTCCCTGTCTTGACCTCTCCAGCTAAGACGCAGACCCTTTGTGGCGGGAGTCCCTAGTCCCCTCTGGGGGCTGTGGGGGATCAGCTGCCTCACCATCTGCTCAGCTGCAGACAGGGCCAGGACCCCATGGCAGGGCGGGAGGCCAGCTCCCTCAGGCTGGCAGTGTGTCGTTTCCTGGCCTCTGGCAGCCAGGCCAGCGTTGTGCACGCCAAAGGCCCCGTCTGCGGGGGCTGTGGCACACGTTCTGCTTTTTCCCTCCTCGCCCCACAGCCTCTGTTGGCCATCCCTGGACGACACGCAGACCCCATCATGACCACAGCCGGGCTCCTGTGTGTGTGGCCTGGGTACTCCCTGACTTTGAGGATTTGGGGCGGCTATGAAACACCCCAGGAAGGGCCAAGGCCCCCCACACTGCAGACACATGTGCCCCCAGGGCACTGGTCTGGGTACTGGTCTGTGGTTCCCCCATGGCTGCGAAGGCCTCATCCAGAGAGGCTGTCCTGCTCCCCTGGCGTGCCAGGATGTTCCCTGAGGCCCAGCCCAGCCCCGCGAGAGCCCCAGCACCCATCAAGGTGGCACCTCTTCTCCTGCACCTTTGGGGCCCACATCCCCCACCCTGCTGAGCCTCTCCTGCCCTTGCCCAGGGGGGCCTCCCGGGGACGCCAGTGAGAGCCAGCCAACTGGAGCACGGCCAGATGGGTCCCTAAGGGCGGGCCACACCCCAGCAGGCCCAACTCCCCATCTCGGAAGCTGGTGCCGTCCAGGGCAGCGGTCCAGCCAAGGGTCACAGTACCGGTGGGCCTCTCCGCCCAGTGGACACGGGCGGCGTGGACTTGGCTAGGCCCGGCGCGTGCAAGGGTGCGCTTCGGTTCTCGTGTGGGGGGGTGGGTCACAGCACAGAGTGCAGGGAGACCGCAGGTCCCCCCGACAGAGGCGGAAGCGCAGTGGGGCTGGAGTTGCCTTCTGGCTTGGGAGTGCCCCTCCGTCCTTCTCTGTCCCTCCCCCCCACACTCCCCCCTTATCTTTGTCCCTCTGGGGCTGTGGCCAGCACTGCACCCGTGCACCCTGACTTGCTCTCTCCTGTTGGAGTCCTTTTTCCAAGAGAAGCTTCCAGCTGGTCTCCCAGAGGTGACTCCCCCGACCAGGAGGCCCAGGAACGTCCTTGATCACACTTGATCTGCTCTCCCTAGAAACATGTAGAATGTTCTCCTCGTTTCTGATGTCCCTGAATCCTTCCATGACGTGCCTCAGTGTGTTTTCATTGGTAATTTCTTTGTGGTGTTCCTTGAACCTTTCAGTCTGAGGCTGTGTAACTCTTTTGAGGGAGGATACAATTCACATACCATAAAACTCATCATTTCAAAGCGTACAGTTCAGTAGCATTTAGTGCATTCACAGGGTTGTGCAGTCCCCATCTCTAATTCCAGAACATTCCATCACCCCAGAAAGAAGCCCCATGTCCTTTTAGCAGCCCCCACACATACCCCAGCCCTGGCGACTCTCTTCTACCTTCTGTGTGGGTTTGTCTGGTCTGGATGTTTCATAGAAATGTGATTACACAATGTGTAGCTGCAGCCTTTTGTTTTAATTTAGGAAAATGCTCAGTCTTTATTTCTTAAGCATTTTCTCTCCGTTATTTCTCCCTTCCTCTGGGCATCTTCTGGTGCTGATGTCAGCACTTCCTCCTCACGCCCTCTCGCCTCCGTCTTCCCTCTGCTTTCTCTGTGTCCTTTCCCTCTGGCCTGTTCCTGGCCCGTCCCTCAGCCCAGTCCCTCAGCCCACGGGTCCCTACTCTGCCTCTCATATTTCGGGTTGTAGCCGCCTCCCAGCTCCCTGTGGCCCTGCTGTTCCCCTGGAGCTGGCCCGCCTGGTGGCATGTTTGCACAATTGTCCCTCCCCAGGGCTCACACCCCATTCTGGCTTCTCTGTGTCCCCATCGCCCACTTGGTGATCCCCAGGGCTGTGCTCAGGCGAGCATGGGGTTCTGTGCCCCCCACCGTGGCACCACCAGGCTTAGGCCTCCAGGGGCAAGGGACCAGGTGCTCTCTGGGGTCGTGGCTGAGCCCCGACAGAGACCCCAGCCTTGGCTGCCCCAACCACAGCCTCACCTCCTCTAGTAGGCAGCAGATTTTGAGGGGCAACCACAGAGGCCCCCACAGGAGAAGGTGTGGGCAGGCAGAGCTCCCCACAGACCAGAGGGCCCAGGGTCACCCCACCCTACAGCATCTGCCCAGGGCCCCGGGATGAGACCAGGGGGCTTGATCAAGTGGAGTCAGATGCCCACCCTCCCCCTAGCACACCCTGTTCTCCCCTGGCATCCCCTGCCTGTCCCAGATTCTTCTCGTAGAGAGCCACTTAGCAGACATCTGATCGAAGCTGCAAATGACACCTAGCATGGTGTTTTATTTTTTATTTATTTATTTTTTAAATTATTTATTTATTTTTCCCCCAAAGCCCCAGTAGATAGTTGTATGTCATAGCTGCACATCCTTCTAGTTGCTGTATGTGGGACGCGGCCTTAGCATGGCCGGAGAAGCAGTGCGTCGGTGCGTGCCTGGGATCCGAACCCGGGCCGCCAGCAGCAGAGCGCACACACTTAACCGCTAAGCCACGGGGCCGGCCCATAGCATGGTGTTTTAACTAAGGATGATCCAGTAGTTTTGGGTGATTAGAGCTGGTTGATGGGGGTCACGGCTGTGCCTGGCCCAGACCCCATGGGGAGCAGATCAGATGGGCCCCTTGACGATGCCTGGGCACGTGTGTCCCCCGACATGGCTGACCACCGCCACCTCCCCCTCGGATACCCCACTGCTCTGTCCAGTCCTGACCCCGGCTCCCACAGATGTCTCGCAGTGCAGCCAAGAGCACCAGGGCCCCTGCCGCCACCACCCCCTCTCCTCCCTCCTCAGAGCCCAGGCTGCAGGCCCTGTCTGTGCCTCCTCCCTCGGGCTGCAGGTACCTGTCCTGTCCAGTCGTCAGCTGCCTGCCGGGGAGGACTGCAGAGAGACATTGAATGTGCCTTACAAGACGTGGGGTGCGCTGGAAACCGTCGTCCTGGCCCAGGGCACCGTGGGAACCCGCCTGTCCCCTGTGTGTCTCCTGCAGGGTGACGGTCTGTGTGTCTCAAACCACTGGCTCCTGGCGATCGGGAAGGGCCTGCCGCAGGCTTGGGGCCGCCATGTCCACAGTGAGGAGGGCAGGCCGAGGGCAACCTGGCCTCTGGAAGGGCCCAGAAACCACTGCCCCGGGCTGCTGTCCCCAGAGAGCTGAGTGGGGTCCTGCGGGGCTTCCAGGAGCTGCCCCCAGGCCCTGTTCATCTTCTGAAGCCTGTGGCTTGCCCCAAGCGCCCCCTCAGTTGCAGAAGTTGCTGCGTCTCCTGCAAGCACCCGGGCTGCCCCGTCTCCCCAGCAGGCACCTTGCCCCAAATGCAGGTGCCCTCACTCTGCCCGCTTGGACGCACCTGGTGCAGAGATGACACAGTGAGAGGTTCACTCAGGACACCAGGCATTGGCACGGTCGCGCACTTACCTCAAGTCATGGCACACAGCGGAGAGCTTAGAAATGCTGCCGGGGCTTCTGCTCAAATCTCAGGAGCCGTCTATTGGGCATTTCTGTCCTCCCCCAGCGAGGACCCTGGACGCTGCAGCAGGAGGCGCCCGTCCTGCAGCTGCCCTGGGCCGAATGTTCCAGGCCCTGTCCCGTGGTCCTGCTTCCTGGCATTCCCTCACGTCCAGTGTGCACACCTGGCGCTCCCACCCGGCCCAGCGTGCTGCTGGCGCTCCACAGACCATCGGGGGATGACAGCCCCCTGAGTCCTGCTGCCCCTGGGTGGCCTCACCCCTTCCATGACAGCCGTGGCCACCACTCTCCTGTCCGGGTGTCAGGGCTGTCGGCGAGGCCTCCAGGGGGCTGGGGTGCCAGGCGGGCCGGGGACAGTTCCTACACCCATGTCCCGGTCTCCCCCAGGTACATCCAGACACTGAAGGACCACAGGCCCCGGATGGTGTGGGACAGCCAGGCCGCCGAGCATTTCTTCGAGTACAAGAAGTGAGTGTCCAGGAGGAGGCCCTGGGTGAGGGTGGGGGCACATGCCCAGGCTGGCCGGGGGTCACAAGCTTAACCTCTGGCCCTGAGGGCCAGCCCAAGGAGTAGGACCCACAGAGGGGCCTTTCCAGCAGGACCTGAGACCTGGCTGGAAGGTGGGGAGGAGCTGGGAGAACGAGGGGAGGCAGGGCGGGCAAGGCCCACGGGCCACTCCCTTTTGCAGGAGCCGCGGCGGGAGGCACGTCATCTTCTACCCGACTCTGAAGGTACGTGTGGGCCCAGCTGTGGCGCTGGGGGCGGGGGCAGCAGGCATGACCCCTTCCCGCAGTGACCCTTGCCCACAGCGAGGCCATGGTGGGCAGTGGGTCAGCACGGGATGAGGGGCTCAGGCCTGGGCACGTTCGGGGGCTGCCATGGTGACGAGAGGCAGAGGCTGACGCCCCCCTCTGCCTGCAGTCTTTGCAGGTGCGGCTGGCGCTGGCCAGGGAGCTGGGCGTCGGGGTGTCCATCTGGGAGCTGGGCCAGGGCCTGGACTACTTCTACGACCTGCTCTAGGCCCAGCCCTGGAGCAGATATGTGCTTTCTGAGTGACGGAGTGACTGACATGCAAAATACAGACTTCTCTGTTTTCCATACTGTGTCTGCTGTCCTCTCGGGCCGGGGCAGAGGGGTCCTGGATCCTGGCCCCCTCGTCAGTGACGGGGGAGGGACAGTCCTGGCCGGGGGTGCCCCAAGAACACAGGACCTTCTTCCCCAGCCCTTGCTGGCTGCCTGCCATCTGCTGGGTGGAGGCAGGACCCACAGTCCCCACCCCACAGGGCGGCCTGGCGGGGCCTTTCCCATGGCACCCAGAGTCCAGGCTGCTCCACGTGGCCTGTGGTTCACTGTGAGTTTGGAGTCTCCCACACCTGGACTCCAAGCCCCTGGCAGGGGCAGCTCCACCCAGCATCACCCCAGGACCATGTGAAGGGGCCCTGGCCTCCCACTGCCCACACAGGCTCAGCCCGCCAAGGCTGCAAGCAGAGTCACACAGATGAACCCACCAAACACCACACGGCGAGGGTGTGGGGGCTGCTGGAGAAACCGGGGCTCGGAGAAGCCAGCCCTGCCCCAGAGGACCCGGGCCTGGACAGCAGGGCAGCAGCAGGACCCCTGAGAGCCCATTGGTGCTCATGGGCCATGGGGTCACCGTGGAATGACAGTGTGCTGGCAGGTCCCAGTGCCTGTGGGTGCAGCCACACTCCCAGGATGAAACAGGGATTGCCAGGAGTCAGAGGACAGCTGGCCCCTAGCCCCCATCCGCTATCCCCTTGTCCCTTCAGCCAGGAGGGCTCCTCACCCTCACTCCTGGTGATTAACCTTAGTGGCTCCAAGCGGATGAATCCCTCCGTAATCAGCGCTGAGCCAGGGTGCTGACCGGGCGGACTTGCTGTCAGATGCTGCATGTGAGCTCGTGGCTGCACCCCGGGCTCTGGCTTCCCTGAAGCACTTGGGGTCCCGGGCAGGGAGTGCTGGGGACAGGGTCACATCCCACCCTCCTCCTGTGGCATGTGAACAAGGGAGGGTTTTAAGGGGATAGATGTCTGTCCTTGGGGTCAAAGTCTGGCTAGGCCCACCAGTCCCTCGTGAAAGCCACTCTGCCTGCAGGAGCTGCCTAGACGAAGGACCCCGCTGTTCGAGGTGTAGGCAGGAGGTCCAGCCTCATGGGCCCACGACAGAAACCAGCCCGGCTGGGAGGGCAGCCAGACTGGGCTCCCCACTTCTGCCAGTGTGGGCTGTGGCCAGGAGCTCAGGATGTGGGTCAGACAGGCCCTGCCAACTACCCCTGCCCACGACCCACCCAGAGGCCCTGGGGCTGCCCCCACCCAGGCCTGCTCTCCGGGTGGAGTAGGGCAGACTGTTGATTCTGAGAAACCAACCCACCTTCCCAGATGGGAAGGCTGGGCCTGACCAGAAGAATGGATGGGAGTTTGGGGGTGAAGTGGGGCCATTGTGAGAAGTCAGTGCGCTCAGCTGCTGTGGGTTGTGTGTGTGTGTGTGTATGTGTGTGCGTGCACACTCCAGCATGTGTGCGTGTGTTCACGTGTGCGTCTGTCTGCATGTGGGTCGGTGGGCAGGAATGCTGCTGGCACGTGGGGCCACAGCTCAGGTCTCCCTGGGCCAGACTGTCTCCCCAACATGGCTGCTCTGGCTGTGGGCAGGGCCAGAGGGCAGAGCAGCAGGCACAGGCCAGTCCCCTCTCCCCCAGCTTCGAAGGCCCAGGTGGTGGGGAGCAGGGAGGCCGCTGCACCAGGGCAGGCGTTGGATTCTGATGAGTCTGGAAGTCTGTAGAGGAGTTCGGGGGTGTGTAGGGTGTGTGGGAGGGTCAGTTGTGGGGGGCCTGCAGTGTGAGTCCACATGTCAGTGGATGTAGAGCCAGGTGGGTGACGGGACACCAGGCATGTGGGGGGACTTCTCAGTTTGGGGATGGGGGACTGGGAGGCATCCCCCAGAGGCATCCACATGGGGAGAAAAGTGAGCCTGAGAACCATGCAGAGGCACCAGCCAGTGCAGGGCAGCATGTGGCATCGGCACGGAGGCCGGGCCCTGCACGTCCCAGTAGGACCCTGGTGGAGCAGGGGCTGCCAGAGCAGCTCAGGGGCCATGGGAGAAACTGAGTCAGGGCTGGACGCAGAGGCACCTGGAGTCTAAGGGGGCCACGTAAGAGGCTGTGAGCAAGAAGGGTCCCAGGTCTGCAAGTCATTTCTCTTGCTCCTGCAAAACCATGTACGCACGCTGGGCACACAGAACGAGGAGCAAGGGAGGCAGGAGATCAGGGTTGGAGAGAAACGCGAATGGGGGACCTGGGTCCAGGCCAGAGGGCAGAGTGGGCGCTGGCCGGGGTCAAGGGGGGGACAGTACTGCTGGATGTGCGACTGTCCTCAGGTCATTTCTGGCTGCTTGCTGCTACATAAGAATCAGCTTGGATGCGTTAACTGTGTCCTGAGGCCTGCTAACTCCATGTGTTAGCGCTGGTGGTAAATCCCCTGGGGTTCTGGGGGCTTCCATGGAGCGAGGATGGCAGTGTGGGTGGGGCATGGAGACATGACAGGAATCAGCGAGGGACTGAGGGCCAGGAGGGGCCAGCACCCAGGTGGTCTGGGTTGTGTCTGTGGCCACGGGCAGTACTTGGCCGGGCATCAGCAGGTGGGTCTGCCACACGAGAACAGTGACGCAGAGGGGGTGTCCCAGGGGGTGACAGAGTCGGCAGGACCAGAGCCAGCAGGAATGGGGGCTAGAAATTGAGATGATGGGGTGCCGTTTGGAGGGGTCAGATGCCCCACAGTTAGTGAGGCTTTTGGAAGGGGTCCATCCCCCAACCTGGACCCCCAGACCCACGGGCCTCTGCACTCCCCCATCAGTCCTGTTCCCAGGAAGCCCCACCCCTGTCTTTGAGGTGGTTTGAGGCAGATTCACCATTTCTCTAATTCTGGACCCTGTGACAAGTGCTTTGCTCCTGACAGCCCACCTTATTTGCAAAATCCATAGAGTAACACTTAGGGGCAGAGTTCCCAGGAACCAGACAGGAATGGAAGATAACGGGAAAGATGGAGCTGAACTCCACTGGGTAAGGACACCCCTGGGGGAGGGCGGCGAGGCCCCGGGGCTGGATGGAGACGGGGTGTCCCTACCACAGGCCGCTGGTGGCTCAGAGAGGCTCAGGGCTGTCCCTCGGAGCCAACTTCATGGAAGTTTTGAGGCTGTCCTCTGCGGGCGTGGGAGCTGCCATCTGCCTGGCCCAAGCAGCTCACCTGGGCCCACACATGTCCAGGAACCCCACTCCAGGCGCCGGGCCCATATCAGTGGGGGGAGCACAGCCACACAGGGTCTGCCTGGGTTTGGCACCCCCCAAGGGGTTAGGGCAGTGACAGACACTGGTGGGGGGCTGCTGTCCACGCACTTTATTAAGATGCACCTGGAGCCTGCCCGGGCCGCCATGGAATGTGGATGACGGGACTGTGGCCCCGCCTTGAGCACCAGGACTAGTGGTCGGCCCCCCACCCCCCCACCCCAACCCATGTGTGGCCCCATCCCCCTGCCCTGGACAGGGGTGTGGGGGAAAAACACTGCTCTGGAGAATACATGGATGTAAAAAGCGCCAGAAGCCCCTCCCGCCCCCAGCCCCGGGCACGTGGCCAGTACTAGGCCACTGCCTCCAGCACGGTGCTCACAGGCCTGGCCAGGGCTTCTGGGGGCTTTAGCCGCCTGCTCCTCCCCTCCCCCACGCCCAGACTGACATGGAGTTCTGCAGTGGGAGAGGTGGGTGGGGATGTGGTCGTCTCCCTGGTGGGCGATGTCCTTTGGCAGCGAAGCGGGGGTGGCGGGCAGCAGGCAGCCTATGCGCAGTAGGTGTCGGCCTTCACCACCTGGCAGTACATGGTCATAGCGAAGGTCAGGCCCAAGATCTGCGGACACACAAGAGGACTGGGCGAGGCCGCTCCAGGGAACCATGAGCCTAGAAGGGGTCCTGCCCCCGGCAGGCGCCCTGACCCAGAAAAGCCTGGGCCTCCGGATCCCACCCCACAGCTTCCCGGATGGCCTGGTACTCCCCTTCTCTGGGGATGCCTCCCCCACAACCAGCAATTTGGGTCCATGACAGCCACACCCTCTCTGAGCCTCCGGATGGGACCCACCCACCACAGGCATAGGGGGACCCCGAGGGTTCCTAGGGCTTAGCCCCCAGACACGCCTTTCCTTGGAGTTTGGCCACCCTGGGCTCTGCTGGCGGCTCTTAGGGCCTGTTTCAGGGCTCATCAGCTCCAGGCTGGGCCTTGTGCCACATGCCTCCTCCCCACTAGCCTGGCGGCCCCCAGCGGCCTGCCCCCTACCCATTCATCCAACTGTGATCACCTCTAAGAGTGTCTGTCTGATCTGCCTGTGACCCCCCCTCTGTGTACCCCCAGCATGGGGGCTGCCCTCATGTCTGAATTTATTGCCACTGACTGATCTTAAGCCCCCCCGGGGGCGCTGACACTCAAGACTTCCATGGGGGGGCCGGCCCCGTGGCGTAGCTGTTAAGTGCACACGTTCCGCTGCTGGCGGCCCGGGTTCGGACCCCGGGCGCACACCGAGGCACCACTTCTCAGGCCATGCTGTGGCGGCGTCCCATATAAAGTGGAGGAGATGTTAGCCCAGGGCCAGTCTTCCTCAGCAAAAGGAGGAGGATTGGCATGGATGTTAGCTCAGGGCTGATCTTCCTCACCAAAAAAAAAAAAAAAAAAAGACCTCCATGGTGGCCAGGAAGCTGAGGGCAGGGGAGCAGGGGCCGGCCAGCTGGACCCGGGCACCAGGGCCTGGGCTGCCCACCCTCGATCTGCCTGTGACCACCAGCCACCATGGCTGCCAGGCCTGGGGCTGCAGGAACAGGGCTGGCCCTGTGCACAGGGGTCTGCAGCACAGAGGCATCCAGTCTGCGCCTTCAGCCACTAGAAGAGAACAGGCCTCTCTGCTTAGGAGCCAGGGGTGGCCTCTCTGTCCCAGGTGTCAGAGGTCACCTCCCGTGGAGGTCATCCCTGACCACCTCCATGGGCCCCACTTCTGCCTGGGGGCGTGGGGCGGGGGGCTGGGTGGGTCCAGGAGGTTCCTGGGATGGCCCTGCTCGAGTACCTGCACCAGCGCCGTGCATAGCCCGAAGACGCCCACGGCCAGCAGGTTCTCCTGGAGCCACATCTTCACCGTCTCGTAACATGGCTGGAGGAATAGCGGGCGTCACCGGGGCCGGCCGTCCACCCCCAGGTCCCCGGGGCCAGGGCGGGTGGGCGGGAGGGCGCGGGCTCACCGCCTTCCACCAGGTGCCGGGCGCGTGCAGCCCACAGCTCTCGCTGAACTCCAGGCAGCAGGAGTCGGGCACGCGCGAGGCGTTGTAGACCTCGAACCAGTCGGTGTAGTTGGAGACCCCGCAGCAGCGGAACTGTGGGAGAGGGCGTGGGGGCTGGGACGGTGGGGGCTCGCCCCTCGTCTCAGCCACGGCCCCGCCCGCCCGGCCCCGCCCCCCGCTGCGCCCCGCCTCCTTCGCCCCCCTCCTCACGTCGGTCTGGATGATGCTCCAGGCGTTGGTGAGGCCCACGTTGCCCGGGGTGCCATACAAGTGCAGGCCCTTCTTCAGGTCTCGCTGGGCGTACCTGTCGATCTGCAGGTGCAGTGGGGTCAGCAGGGCCACCCCCGCACCAGGCTCCGCCTCCCTCATCCAGACCCCACACCAGCTCCCACCCCCGGCGCCCGCTGCCCCCTCCCTGGAGTCGCCTCCTCCCAGAAGACCCCCCAGCGCCCAGCCTTTGCCGCGTCGACTCCGTGGGCCTCCCGTGACGCTGAGCACTGGAGTATGGATCAGAGTCTGACACAGCAGCGTGAACTCAGCTCCATGCACAGGGACAGAGGGCCAGGAACGGAAATACTGAGAGCCGTGTCTGTACACACGTCTCTGTGCTGCCGGCTGAGGCCCAGAAGCCACGACACCCCGTGGCAAGGAGCACCCCCACCCAGATCTTGGTTCCTCAGACTGTCCTCCAGTGAAGGAACCAGGGCCCCTTGGAGAAGGGGCTGGTGCAGGGCCGGGGCAGGAGATGCCCAAGGTGGGCCTGGAGCTCTTCCAGCGCCAGAAAGGAAGTGCTCCCCAAAAACTGCATTGAGGGGTATGCCAGAGGGACACGAGGGCCAACTGAAAGAGCTCCCTGTGGCCAAAGCTAGAACGATGAGCAAAAAATAACATACTCTTGGATTATAACTCAAAGAACAAAATACATGCAAATGAGCCCTGATGTAAATACAGGATTAAATAAATAAATGGGGGAGGGGAGGTTGTTCCCATCCCTAATACGCAGCCCAGGACGCAGGAGCTGGGAGCTCTGGCCCAGCCACCACCGACGGGAGCTCAGGGAGCGAGAGCACACAGCTCCACTCACCTGCCTTCCCTTCCCGGCATGAGACTGCTCTGCCCCCGAGGACCAGAGACCTCCCGGAGCCTCCAGGGCCCCTGGGTCCCCCTCCAGGCTGGGCCTCCGGTGGCTGTGGGTAAGACCAAACCTGCGGCCCCGGGTTGCGCAGTGGGTCGGATGCAGGGGCTGCTGTCCATCCACAGGGACAGCCGTTCTCAGCCCTGCCCGCAGCCCCGTCACCCACAGCACCCTGGCCCCTCGCTGGGCAGTGAGGATGGAGCCTCCACACCCGAAGGTGGGTGGAGGTGGCCATACCTGGTCTGTGTAGGCGAAGAAGAGGATGGCGATGGTGGCCTCCAGCAGGAACACCAGCAGCAGCATCACGAAGAACTGGGGGGAGGGACACGCCTCAGCAACCCCGACCCCACCCTAGCCCAGCCCTGCCACGGCCCCCAGCCGCCCCCAAGCCCCTGGAGCCTTCCAAGGGCAGGGACCCAAACCTCAGACGGACACCCAGTACTGCTGAGGACCCCCAGCCAGGTCCCCACACCCAGAGCCCACCACACTCCCCCGATGCTGCCCTACCTCCCTCAGAACCCTCCCGTCTCTGTCCCAGGGCCGTCCCATCTCACTCAACCTCTGGAGCACAAGCCTCACATCTGCGAGCACAGGCGTGTGCTCCGTGCCTGTGTCCCTGCAGTGGGTGGGCAGAGGGAGCGATGCTCCAGGGGGCCCTGGCACGAGGTGGACCGGCTATGTGACCCCCAGCCCCAGGTCACACCCCTCAGGGCAGCCAGGGGTGGCCCACGTCCATTCAGGCAAGACAAGGTGCGGGAGACGCCACCTCGAGCTGGAGAAGCCTCCATCTCTGACTATACCAACCTTGCCCGCCAGGCGGCAGCCCACCACTCAAGCACCCCCAGGGGCACAAGCCTGACCTTGGCCCCGGCCCCCCCAGGCCAGACTGAGCAGCAGAGGCAGCCTGCGCTCACCCTGCCTTTCCCACCACATTCCTCCTCCAGCAAGGAGGGGATGGGGCCAAGAGCCAGGATAAGCAGGGGGCACGCCGCTCTCTGTGAAGCCCCCACCCTGCCCCACAGGGCCTTGGATGAGGCCAGGGGAGCAGGCCTGTCCTATCCTGGGGTCCCTGATCTGGCCTCCCCTCATTCTGGACTCAGGACTCGGGGCCCACGCTGCCCCCAGGAGGCTCCAGGCTCTGAACTCCAGGTCAGCCCATGGGAAAGGCCAGGGTCAGGACCCCATACGCACTGCAGCTTCCTCCTCTGTCCAAGGGGTCCGAGCCCCCGAGCAGGGCAGCTGGGGACCCAGCCGCACCCCGACTTGCTGCTCCGAGGGGTCTGAGCCCTGAGCCCTGATGGGCACATCTGAAATATGCTGGACACCTGGGGAAGCTGCACAGATGGGGGACTTGCCCTCCCAGACCCTCGGAGGCCCTGCCCCGGGCGAGGGCTCTCAGACAAAGGACGCTCTGGAAGCAGGGGGTGTAGAGCTGGAGCAGGCCCGTCACCCCCACCTCTGCGGGCATATTAGCAGGTAAGGAGCCCGGGGAGCCTCCTCCTTCCTAATGATCTGTGGTTAACCTCTCCGAGAACGGCAACATGTCCTGCCTGTGAGTCCATCCCCAAGGCTGAGGGGAGGCTCAGAGCCTCTCAACAGAGGGTCTTGGGGGGTCGAGACGCCTGGGAGAGGAGCTGCGGAGGGGGTCACGGGGGGAGTCGTCTTGGAGGAAAGAGGCCCAGTATAGGCTGGAGGGGCCCTGCGTGGCACGCGTGTGCATACGTATATGGGGTGGGCACGTGTGCGCACACGTGTATGGGGTGGGCATGTGTGCGCACACATGTGCGGGTCCCATCAAGGGAGGCCTCCACCAAGCTCTGGCACCGTCTCAGAGAGCAGCCCCCCAGCACCCAACCCCCACAGCCTCAGCCTGGCCTGGAAGACCCCAACCGGGGCCCCCAGGGGGCTACCACAGTGACCTGTCCCCATCCCCATCCCTGAGGAGAGTCTGCACAGGTGGGGAGCTGTGTGTTGGGGAGCCCCAGCGCCCCCCCCGCCACGCCCCCCCTTCACTCACAGTGAGCAGCAGGCACTTGTTCTCCTTGATGGCCCCAATGCAGCCCACGAAGCCGATGGCCATGACGAAGGTGCCGGTGACGATGAGCAGGTTGGCAGCCGACAAGGACGGGAAGGAGGCAGACAGGGTGGCGAAGTTACCCTGCGTGGCAGCCAGCCAGATGCCGACACCCAGGATGCCGCAGCCTCCCAGCTGGGACCACCGGGCGGGGAGAGAGAGGGGCAGTGAGGCCGCCGTCTGCACACCCGGGACCCCGGGGTCAGAGCAGGCGGGAGTCCCACCAGGCCCCTGTGGCAGCCTGGGGTGGCATCCAAGGTGAGCCCCGTGCACCCTCGGCCACCTCGCTGACCTCCAGGGGCCAGGCGCCTCCCAGTCCTGTCCTGACACATTATGCCTGATCCACGGCCACAGTGATGGAAACACCAGGGTCCCACACTTACGGCTTGGTCACGCTGTGGTTGATGGGGTGGGGGTGGTCTGAGGATGCTCTCCTCCCCTGGGTCACGACTAGGGTGCCTGCCCCTGCCTCAATGACCCTGTTGAGGCAACCCAGGCAGGGGCCCCAGGGCTCCCCACTGAACACCAGCCGCTCCAGGAAGCAGCCCCCTCTGACCCACAACCCAGCCTGCACCCTGCCCGCCCATGCGGCCCTCGGGCTGGGTCCAGCCCCGCAGCCTCTCTGGACTTGAGCAGTCCAGGAGACCCACCTTAGAGGCCCCCGCAGTCCCACACCTGGGCACGGGAGCAGGAGCAGAGCAGAGAAGCGGCTCCCTGGCCCTCACCGCCTCTCCCCTCCACCACCAGAGCTTTTATTGAATTTCATAATTGCTCATTATTACAAAAATCAATTAAAATAACAGGAAGAACAGGGAGGAGATGAATCCAGAGAGGGCTCTCAGCCTTGCGTGGTGACAGGGCCTCCGGCCTTGGGAGCAGGGGTGGGCCAGGGCTGGCCGAGAGGGCTGAGGATCCAGCCCATGGTCCTCAGACCGAGGCCTTGGGCTCTGAGTCATCTCAGGATGAAATGAGGGAATGTGTTCTGGGGCATGGGTGGGGGATGGTCAGCCCCCACAAACGCTGACCTGGGCTTCAGGAGACCACCTTGGGTCCAATGGCTGATGGACTCTGGGGAAGGCTGGGCAGCCCTGGGTGCCCCCACCCCACTCCAGGACTGGACAGGACACAAGACCCAGCGCCCCCACCCCACCTGAGACGTCTCCCCACAGTCTGGCCCAGCCCTCCCACGGGCTCTGCCCCCAGGGCATGTGCAGAGTGCTCACCCTGCATGCCGCAGGATGGGCTGGGCCACAAGACTCCAGGGGACACAGCATCCACCCAGGGCCACCACGAGCCTCACATCGCCCCACAAAAGCCTCCCAGGCCTCGATGGCCAGACTTGCACCCCATTTCCCAGAAGAGTAAACTGAGGCTGGGAGATGAGTCTCCGCCCATCAGTCAGCAGAAGAGCTGAGGGGAGCCAGGGCCGGCCACACACCCGCCCCCCCACTGGCCCAGATCCCCAGGCCTGGGGCTTCCATCCTGGCAGGGACCCCATGACTCAGGCAGGCCCGACAGGCCCTGAGACCCCCACCCGAGAAGGCCTTCCCCCTCCCCCATGCACTCGCTCACCCTTCCCCCACCAGCACGTCAGCCCTGGTTGCAAGGGTGGAGGTGGGGGTGGGCGATGGCAGCTGCCCTCGGCCCTTGCTAGCCTGCCAGGGAGCATGCACACCATGCATTAAGCCGGGCTGGCAGGAGACTGCAATTATGGGGGGACGCAGCTCCCAGCCCCATAGCAAGAGCAGCCAAGGGCTCCCGAGGGTGTGGGCAGGGTGCCAGGGGCTCTGGCCCAGGCCTCCTACTAGCATATGGGGGTCTTGCCTGGAGCAGAGTGGGGCAGGACAGCCCCCCAGCTAAAACACCCACCACCCCAGTGGGGGGTCCAGTCAGCCCTGGGCATACACGGGGTCCTCTCCAGTCCCTCCCCCTCGCCCCACTTTGCACCTTTCACAAAAAACAAGAGTTTCTGTTTAAAAATTAGGAACAAGGCTTCTGGATGCTGCTGGCTCAGGGCAGGGCCTGGGATGCTTTGCTGAGCCGCCACCCACCCCAACATGAGGCTCCTCTGGCCGGACGGTCATCATGCCTGTTTGAGCCCCACCCCAGGGCAGAGTGGGGGGCTGCAGCTCCAGGTGGGGTGCGGGGAAGGGCAGGGAGAACTGACAGACCAGGTGCAGGAAGGGCCTGGCCCATGCTTCTGGGCACCAGGCTGAGGGGACCCTGGTGCAGTGGCTGATCTGCTCCTAGCAGTGACTGCAGAGCCGTGGCAGTTCCTGGAGGGACCCCCACGGACGGAGACAAGAGCCTCCGCCTTCGGCTGGGATTCGCACCTGTGAGGCCTGTGCACAGCGCCGCTGGGCATGGCTCCTGATCAAACTCGGTGCCGTAACCAGGCTCCAGAAGCTAGGCAGCCAGAGGGGCTGCCCAGACATCAGATCCAGGAGACCCAGAGAAGGCTCGGAGGTGGGAGGGAGGCCGGGGGACCCGCCCAGGGGAGTGGTGCGCGTGCCTGCCTGGAGTGCATGGCCCCAAAGTGTGCATGTGCCTGGGTGTGTGCCCAGAGCGTGAGGAACCAGTGGCCCAGCCGGGGGGCACAGAGGCCAGGTGATGTGCCTAATTAGAAGGTCCATCTGCACCGCAGAGCTGGCTTGGTCACAGCCCCAGGGCGGAGCAGGATCTGCTGGCTGTACGGGGGTACGCCCCCACTTGCGGGAGGGGGATGACCCCTGCGTGGGATGGAGGCAGGTCCCCTCCAGGGGCGGGGACAGTGCTGTCCATGGTGCTGGCCCCACGCAAGGCTACCAGGAGAGAGGGAGAGTGGGCCACCAGCAGCCCTGGGCAACTCCGCCCACCCCGGGAGGCACCACTGTGACATCGTGGGGCAGAGAGGAGGCCGAGACAGGCACCGGCTCATTTAATCCTCCCACCTGACCCACAGACGGGAAACAGGGAGCTGAGGGGCTGCCCATCGGGACACTCAGCACCGTATCCCCAAGGCCTCAGGGTCTCTTGGGATCTCCGAGCACCCTGGGGGAAGGCTGGAGCTGGGGCCACCCAGTGGGGGGCTGCGTGCAGAAATACCACCATGTAGACCCACACATGGGCCTCTGCCCTCCACTGGGGCAGGGGAGCAACCTGGCTCAGGGAGGGTGGCTGCCTCCCTGTGGAGGAAGCTGGAAGTCAGGCCCTCTCGGGACACAGTGACTGGCCAGGCTGGCAGACCCCAGGCCCCACACCCGGCTCACAGCGTGTCCCCTGCTGAACCAAGCAGCCCCAACTCGGGGAGGGTCACATCTCGGGGCTGAGCCCCGGGGCTGGGGCCACGGTGGGTGGGGCTGCCTCTGGCGGCAGGTCCCAGAGCAGAGGGGAGGGGCTGGCGCAAAGGGGTGTTACTTAAAACCTGAGCTGCTGCCTCTGGCTCTGCCCTCAAGGACTGCGTTGGCGGATGGCTCCTGTCAGCAGGAAAATGAGCCGATCTGAGCTCCCTCGCCCCTTGGGGATGTGTGGAAGGGTGCTGGGAGGGCGCCGCCGGGCAGAATGGCTGTGACGGGTGGGGGTCTGGTCCAGGTTCCAGGGGACCCGGGAGGGGTGGCCCCCACCCCCAGCCCTGCCTTCATTAACACTCCACGACATGTCCTCACCTCCATCCTGATGTGGCAGGAGAGACACCACTGGTTGTCACCCAGACGCACGCTGAGACACACATACACTGACACAGACACACAGCCCACGCTGTCACACAGTGTCACCCAAACAACACATGCACGCCGTCACACGCAGACACACGTTACAGGCATGGTGCTGTGACCCATCGCCCCTACGAGCCCCGAGTCCCCCCCACGTTCAAGCACCTTCATGCAGACCAGTCACTGAGAACTTGCACAGACACACACTGACCAAGTGCTCGCACGTGGTTAATAAAATTACCTGTAATTTTGCAAATGTTTCTGCATACGCAGCTTTTAAAACATTTTGGCAGGAAAATTACAGCCTCCCAGTGCAGGAGGAAATGTTAGACTCAGATGCGAACTTCAAACGCAGGGAAGCGGAGCCGAGCCAACGGGGGCCAGGAGCTCCAGGTCGCTCCTGGGTCAGGCTGGCCGGAGCGGCAATAGCTGGGGGGCCGCGATCCCACCCCAACCGTACTGATGTCCCCTCGCACCTCCCCAGCCCCACTGGCTCACTGCCTGGACACTGGCTGGACCCCCTCCCTGGCCAGATAGAAGCCCAGGCGGGGCCCAGGAGCAGACCCCAACCCCTCGACAGCCTGGGAGAGGAGCCCAGCCCACCATCGGGGTCCCCCATCCCAGCCCTGCCATCAGCTGTGGCCTCCCTGTCTCCCACCCACAGACCACGAGCACATGCCCCGTCCACGGCCCTCTCCCAACCCAGCCCCAGCCCAGTGCCTGCCTCATGCACCCACTTCCTGCCCTCTCTTTCTTGTCCGTGTGTTTTTCAGTTTGGCCCAGAGCTAGACAGGTGGGAACCACATGGGCGATGATGCCGTCCCCCTCCAGGCCCGCTGCTGCTGCCCCTCTGGCCACGTGGCTCAGCGTGGCAGATGGCCGGGCAGCTGGCCACGTCCTTGGAACGAGGTGGAGGGCTGGGTGCCCGCAGGGGCCAAGCCTGTGCCCAGAAGCCCCTCGCCCGGCAGCCGGCACAGCCTCAGGGTGGGGGCTGGGCGTCATGGGATGACACGGTCCTCCCAGCCAAGAACAGCCATGGGGGGACCCCATCTACGCAAAGTTCAAGAATGGCAAAATTTATCCACTGTGCTGGAAATCAGGTCTGCAGGTGCCCCAGGGAGGGGTTGGGGGGACTGCGTGAAGGGGCTGGGGGTACCTTCTGGGGTGATGGAAATGTTCCCCACTTCTGCTGGACGTTGCTACCCGGGTGACAAGTCACAGTGCTGTCCACTTAAAATCTATGCAATTGACTGGAATTAATTTTCTTAAATGCCAGCGAGCCCCCACGATGCCCCCACGTCATCGGTCCTGTTCACTCAACCCTGGGAGCCCCCCAGGTACCCCCAAAGCTCAAAGGCGAGGAGACCTGGCCCTGGCCCATTGGGAGATAGCCCCGCTGACCAAGGACCCCCCAAGGCCAGGGTCCAAAGAGGAGGCGTGGGGGGA